GCCACCTCTTCTGCTTCGGCGCAATAGCTCTAGCTTCCATATTCGCAGATCCAGCCTTTCCTTTCAAAGCAGTAGAGAGCAGCCGGTTCGTCTGCTGTCGTATCCATTCAAAAAGTCCTCCCCAGCAATTTGAGAACAACACAAAAGCCACAGCATCAATGGCGGCCATCACCGCAACCACCGTTCAGGGCTAAGCTGCTCCCGGGTCCTGGCGCGTCTGTATCCGTTATCCAAGTGCTAGTGAGCTGGCAATTCATTACAAACTACTCCGCACAAGCGCAATCCTACTGCTTGTACTCCGTAATGGTGGTGTTATAGCCACTGCTGCTAGTAGGTATTATTAGCAGCTATCCCCAATATTTGTGAGCGCTATAGCTGATATTCCCGGCGATCGGTTCAAGATACCCTCCAGAGAAAACTATTCATCAGGGCAGGGAGCACTAGCTGATACTAACTCTGCTCTTACCTACTGAGGCTACCACACAGCTGCGATGGAAAGGCTCGGCGCGCTCAAAACCCATCTCTAGTGCTGGACTAGAGTGCCTCGTCTCTCGTATACAGGTGTATGAGTAAGTTCCAACAAGCATTCATCTCCGAGTGTGATTACATCGGTCGAAATGCCAACTTATGCTCGCCACGTCCAGTCCAAGATTGGGAAATCGACCGCCTGCCTGGGCACGTTTTCGACGGGCTCAACAGAGCATTTAGACACAGTCCTCTCTTGCTGTAAAAGTAGATGACTGCCACTGGACACCCGGCTTGCTTCGGGCTTCCTTGATACATATCTGCTCTGTATTACTTAGTCTTATACAGCAGCCGATATGTGTGTCTTGCAGGCGATGATCATCGTGTCCAGGAGGCGAGATGCTGCGCTTGCAGAGAGATAAGGGATAGTATCCGGCTCATCTGGCTGCGACTCTGGCCTCCCATTCCGCGTGGAGCTGGCTCATCACGGGAGAGGCCGTCCATCGCCAAGTGGCTTGAGCGATCGAAACTAGGCGAGACTTTGCTGAACAAGGGGAGACTCCGCTTCTCCACTGGACCATGGCCAGGAACCCTCTTTTAGCGTCTTCGTCGACCCCTGCTCCTTGGGATCATGTGCCACGCTTGCCGCGACTGGCACTGTTTCGTTTCACCTTCTGTCGACCCTCTTTGTGTCTTCTTTTCTGTCCAGGGGCCTACATCATTGTGTGGAGAAGCGTTGACACTGACGGGGACAGTGAATAATTCGCAAACGAGAGAGATGACAAAAAGAAAAAAGTGAAAAGGGGGGCGCGATAAAACGCATGAATGGAAGAGTCAAAAGCAATCTTGCGTCGCTCACCGCTCATTCTAGCGAGATTCCATCTTGTTTCTTTTCATTTACTCTCCCTTGCTTTGATTTGCAACGCTTCCCGATGTCGTCACGATGGTGAAGATTAGTGCAAGGACAAGTAGGGCTCGCACGCAGCACCTTACGCACACTCCTCAACATTTTCGCGCGCCATGGTCTGCAAGGGACGCCTAGTTGATCCTTGCTTCAACACGCAACCTATCGAAGAACTAATTCCATCAGGCGAAGGGATGGGTCAAGCCACAGCTAGCTCGTGCCATTGCCTCCTCCCGCTTCTTAGGCTTGCAGAGCTGAAAGAGAGTTTTGGACAAGAGATGATATGCATGAGTACGTAGCACTCGGCGCTGCTACCCACCTCAACTTGACATTCTGTGGCTAAATGGCCAGTTGATCCATCTCTTTGAATCGGCAGCCACAGTGCAGCCTGATAAGCCAAGACTCGGCTTTGCGTGTGTGCTGGGAGTTTAATTAAACTGCTTCCTCCTGTCCCGCACCATCCACACCTGCTACGCCGTGTTGCTCTTACACGTCCAATCAGATCTGCGGGGAGGCGGGAAAAACAGAATAGCAATGCCACTAAATCAGCGGATGGAGCGGTTAAACAGAGAGAAGAGAGATCTGCCGAGTGGCATTCCGTTTATTAGTAACAATGCTCGCAGCAGCTCCGATGTTTTGAAACCAAGATTACGGGGCATACATACAGTTCTTGCTGCTACTGCTACTATGCTGATACTGTAGCAAGTACATGTGTGTCCATGAGTATGGACAGCCCAGCAAGACATTGATGGATTAAGCTGGATCAGATTCGACTTTACCAATAAGAGGTATTTGCCGCTCGTGAGCTAAAGACGCTCCATCAGCACTACGACCGAGTCTGTACAGTGCAGGCATTGAATCTATTTTTATTCTCCGTTGTTCCTTGAGCACGTAGGAAAAAAAAACACTAGGGAGGGCATACAAGTACAGTCTCATGTTGATAGACTCACTCGCTACTAACGCCCGCATAATGCCTGCCCCCACGGCTGCGTCGGGAGACTTGCTAAAAGAGCTCAAGGTGAAACTCTCTGTCTCGTCATCGATTTCGCTCCCTCTTGACCTTGGCTGGTGACCCGAAGTGCCGTGTATAGACGGCATAAGAAGCAATATTACTGATTACTGCTACGTACCTACGGATGATACTGGAGTAGTCCTCCATCTGCAAGTACTGTACGAATGAGCAGTCCTGCTGTGAAAATGAAAAGTCAGAGCTGCGCGGATTATTATATCTGCGGGGCATGATTATTGTATCTGTTGCGCCCGTCAACTTGACATATGGGACGGTGCGACGCGGCCGTTTCCATCGGGCTTGGCTCACGCTGATGACGATGTGTACATTATGTACATACATGTACACACCGCGATGAGCATATTGTCTCATGAGCACAGCACATGCTACAGCTCAAGAGGTATGCCAGGACCGGCTATTCTCTTCTAATCTACTTGCTGCTGTTGTGTGACGCTCCTCCATGGGCTCCAGTCAGGGTTGTGTGCCTTGGACTCAGAATGATGACTGGCAGATGAATTTGTGCTATATAACGGCCGACAAGGCTAGCTGTAAGAATGCAGACGCCAAGAAGAAGACTCGGCCGACATGAAGCACGCCTTCTCCGCCAGCTAATGATCCTTCGGGGCTCCGAAAGAACAAGAGGGGGACTGTGCTGATGCAGTAATGCTATTCGACGCCCAAACACTTGCTTGGCTTTGAATCCAAGCGTACATGGGCCAGAACCCAATCAGAGCGCTCTTATGCATCGTCGGCAACGCGGGAAGATGAAGCAGCCCCAGTGCAGCTCTGCAAAGTGTGTGCGTGCAACAGCCGTGTTGACGGAACCTGGGAGGCTGCAATTGATCTTGCCATTGGCTGGCGATGGCGAGGGACCATGCACGTACAAGTAGATAATACTGTAAGCACTGAGCTCCAGCAGGTTTGTTTCATACCTGGAAGGAATCTGACGCTTGTGAAGGAATTGCCACGTTGGCACCACTAACATGCTGGTCCGTATGCACGATCGCGGGCTAGTGTTTTGGAGGACGTGGAAGAGGGCGGTTTACTTGTGTGATTGATCGCCTTGCGCTTCCTTGTAAGGCTAGGCTGTCGAAGCGAAACGAAGATGCTGACAGGAATTGCTAGACGGTATATACTACAAGTACAAGTATGCACGAGAGGCATGCTTTGTCAACTTGCGTGGGGATCCAATGCCGACAAACGGACGCACGTATAGCCCGTTCAGGCTGGAGTCACATCACGGCATTTAGCACGGAACGGCAATAGGCTACGCTCTAATCGACCTCTGCCCGGCGGGATTCAAAGCTCCGAGCCTCTCTCTCTCTCTCTCTCTCTCTCTTATTCTGCTCACGCTAATACCTATTACCAATCCCATTGATGTCTGTGTACAGTATGGCGAACGGCCTTGACAGCGGTGCCAACAGTCGACTAACACGACCTGGTCTGGGCAATCTGCATTTCAGCTCGCGCACCAGCCACAGCTGATCGGACTCGGGCCTGCGTATGCCCCTCCGTTGGACTCGGATGATCACTTGAAGAAGCGCAAAATAAAGCAGCTATTGAGTAGTCATCGCCGACCAAGCAAGGCGCACCAGCTCTTCAGCGGTCCTTGTGTAAGCCATCTCCGAAGCCAAGGCGTGTTAGTGTCTGGAGATGGTCCGGCAGCCAGAGGTGTATGCATTATGCGCATCTCTACAGCGCGAATGAGCAGAGCGTCCCCGGACCAGGCTGCAGGCTACCTAAGCTAGAGAAGAACAAGGAAGATGGGGGGGCGCTTGTGTAAAGGTGCATTTCTCTTTGTCTTGGGACGTAATGCAGATAATGGGTGGTGGGCACTTTGTCCATGCCTTTCTGGAGAGGAGAGAAGCTGTGAGAGGCTCTGAGTGAGATGCTTTGCGTCATTGATCAAGAATTCAAGCCCAAATGATGATGCTCGCCGTTAAATAGCCTGAACCCAGGAGGGCAAAGATCCTTTCGTTGCTTCATACTTACTGATTGTTCGATCCCTCCGTGGTCTTGGTGAGTCTGCTTGCCGTCGTCATCGTCAACAGAATAAGAATCTGAATACCTCCAGTCTTCGTCAACAAACGCGATTGGTTCCGTGGTCTAGTTGGTTATGACATTTCGTTAACATATGCTTAACGCCACCGAAAAGGTCCCCGGTTCGAGCCCGGGCGGAATCACCACTTTCTTTTTTTGCGCCATCTTACCATAAGCACGTTAGTGCTTCCCTCCCTCTCTTCCTTTTTGTTTCGGGTTCTATCGACAAGTATAGAGTTTGGCAGGGTTTGTTTACTGTGAGGAGCATGCGTCAATGAAGCGGGCGCCTCAGCCGTGCCCGAGTTGCAAATGTGGAACTGGTGTCGTGGCTGTGATACTGCCGGACGGGAGAGGTTTAATAATAGCAGCTTCTTCTCCGACGCACGATGACGAGGGCGCTTGACAAGAGATGAAGATTGGATGCAATTGCAAGGCCTAGTGTGTTTGACACGGTCAGATGATGTTCAAAACTGCAAAATTGACTTTCTGGTTATCAACCCCCTTGCGTGCCTTGTCCCGGCAGAAGAATTACGATCCCGAGGGAACACTTGGTATAGACGTGCTTCATAGGCTTTAGAAGGACAGGAAAGAAAAAAAAGTATAATTAATTAAATTGTATCATTGGGTAGCATCCCACCTCCTGAGCCAGACCAGCTCACCTCATGCTTTCGATTTCAAGGTCATAAGATCACGCGCTCCTTGCAAGGAAATTACAGCCAATCATCCCCCCTAATCTCATCCCACGAAGAATTATAGCAGCACGCCTTTTCATGCGTACAGTGTTTATTTCCAATTGGTGTTTTCAAGGCGAATTCTGGTTGAGCTTGCAAGCAATCGACCGAGCGCGTGTATCCGGGAGTTGGGAATTGTTGAATAATGCCGTGGCGTAATAGATGACGGAGGCTGCTGGGTCTTGGCAGTAGTCGTTTCTTTTGCGATGATGAGAAAGTCAGAAGGCGTCAATCATGATGATTATCAGGAGGGGCTTAACTCACGAGTAAAGAGCGCAGGCTACGTAGAAGGGCTGGGGGAATTGCTGCAGCCTCACTGAGCCCACATGGCCGACGCTGCGAACTCCATTAGCTTTCTATTGTTTAAAAAATGTGTTTGGGCTTCTTGGTTGATGGAGGGAGGGGTGAGAGCATACATGTCGTTAGGAAGCTGTACACATTGGCCGACTGTGCCTACGCTGAAATGGCGTCCCTCGAAGTTTGCGTGCGCATAGACTGTTGCCTTGTTGTTTCATACTTTGTTAGCAAGTATTCACTACTGAAATCCACGTCTTCATTGGAAGACAGAGAGAACTCACAATTGGCCCGACGGGGATCAGTTCGGCAACTGCAGCAGTGGCAGAGACCACGATGTAAGGGAGGATTTGATTGAAGTGCATATTTGCGGCTGCAAGGTATCAAGAAGTGAAATATGTATTTGCTTGAATAAAAAAGTATACGCAAAGTTCCAGAGTAGAGCAGGTGTCCTCAAAAATGGCAGTGGGTGAGATATATATATGTACATGTACTCTGTCTGTGATTTTCCATCTGTTGCATGAGACGTTGCACGGAGACGCAATCAGGAAAGGCTACATCGAGATTCAAATTGGTCTCAGAGACATGTCATTTGACTGCCCGTGCCATGGATATCTTTCAGGAATGCGTCGTATATACACTTGGCGCTTCGCCATTTTGTGAATTGGCTTGCATCTTTCTCGATTGAACCGTTTTTTCCATCTCGCCAGTTCCTTCAAGTGACGTCTCTTCGCGGTCAATCACGAACTCAGCAACGATGCCGAGAATATTTTCTTGAATTGGAACGGAGGGCTTCAAACGCCAAACCATGAGATTTATGCAAAGCTGTTTGATAGATGCGACTACAGACATATGACATGAATGTCTAACATACTGTATCATGTTACCGGTATTTGACTCGGATGACTTCACCTGACAGACTTTCCCCATGCCTACCAAGGGGTGTGAGAAAAAAGAGGGACTGCAAAATAAAAATACACACAAAGGTTTGAGACATTAACACTATTTTATTAAAGAAAAATCGATTCAGTATCCTAAAATTGTTATTCAATACTGGATCTTGGATACAGCTTGGTACTATATAATATATGTAGTAAAAGTAGCAGCAACAGCAAGTATTAAATTGTAGTGTGTAAAATTAAGAAATATGTGCTAATTGTTTAAGAATTCCCTCTTCTTCTTCACACCCCTTACCTACTAACCACACCCAGTTTTATCAGTGCGACCTTGTGAACAGCTTCTCTAAACGAGAGCTACGTGATGATATTAATAGTTGTGATATTTTCTTTAGGTAGGAATGAGTACGGGTTCCCTTAAAAAGGGCATGGCATCGCTACTCGCTTAGGAGTAGATCGGCTTGTTGGCAGAAAAAAAAATCAGTGGCTCTAATTTCATGGAGGGAAAAATAAACAGATTTCCTCATTTTTTTAAAGTAAAACTCCGTTTTGCTACAAGGAAGCAGATCGTGATGCGGACTGGGAGGATGACTAACACCAGTACGCATACATGTACATACTGGCAAAGGTACTATGAGTCCGTCTTTGAGTCAAACATGTATTCCATCCTGAGTTATCAACCACTCAGTATCGTAAATCTCGGGTGGATTCTTGCTTTTTTTACAACTCTTGGTAAGAATTCAACGTCTATCAAGCAACTACCTGTAAATCCCCGATCCTAGCTCCAGGCACGGCCCGTTCCCCTTTTTTAAAAAAACATCGTGTGGGAACGGCGCTGGGACTATAAAGAAACCGGTAAACATGGCATTGATGATGCTAGCTAGAAAACAATATTCCAGCCTAGGAAAAATGAAGATAAACATAACGGGTGGCTGTGAGAAAGGTATGGAAGGCGCAAGAGACAATGTCTGTTGAACAGGAATGCGAGCTTTGCATACCTTGGCTACTATATATCTTGGCGGTCAATGGTGGTATTGTATCCCGCACAGAGTAATCGAGATCAACAGTTCTATACAGAGTAATTCTTGTTATTCAAGTTGCCACACCACTCTGTTTGATCGGGGGGCATTCACTCAGGGCGCCCGTGAGTGTTGGGGATTGACAGGTACTTGAGACAAAACAGGCGAGAGCCAGTATAGCCAATTCCAAAGGTCATCGCTATCCTAATGTAGCCTTATTTTCAGTTTTTAAACATTCATTCGAGTGCAGGCTACATGTAATACGCGATGAAGCTCCTTGTAACGCTTACAGCACTACTCTATTCGATGGGCTACCATAGACCATTTTACATCAAGAGTCAAAACTTTGGGCCATATCAAGTCTAGCATGTATTTCTTTGTATATAATCAAGCAGTACGCCAATTATCCAACCGTCATTCATAATCATGTCTTCATTTCTCATAAACACGAAGCCCCAAGTGCATGGTCATAACGCTCTTGGTGAAATATCGCAGTTTCTTCTCTTCTTCTTCAAAAGCGTACATATGTCCGTTGTGCTCCTGCAGTGTAAAACAGTTTAGCTCTCTGAAACATTCATAAACGGCATGTCGAGCACTTCTTACCTAAACAATACACTGATCGAACATTATCGTTGTGTCGGATGTTGACCTTGCTGTTCCCAGCCTTGATGAAAATTACTTCTGTACCAGGTCTGCAGTCATCAGATCTGGAAGCATGCAATGTTAGCTTTTAAATGGACAAAACTCATCATTTTTTCGAGAGGACAACTTACTCAAAGAGAGCGCAAAGCCTAGATGGAGGAGAATTCGGCCATAATTTTGCGGATTTCACGTGTCCATGCCTTGGTTCTCTCCGTCAGTATAAAATACTCTCAAGATATTGGTAAGGAGACGGTATAGATTAAGAAAAAACATACAGCGGGCCAACGACTTTCACACAAGTCTTCAAGCTGCGTACATCAAACTGCTGTCCAGTCCAATCGGAGTCGTGATATAAAGTGACCTTTTGATTCCAGTGTCTTAGCAAGATGCAGCCCAATGAATGCCAAGCTTATTGTTCATAGATGGAAAAAAAAAACTCACAAGCGGAGCTACAGGAATCGTCTCGGCTGGTGCAGCAGCCGCAAATGGAATCAGAACGCAGGGGAGAAGTTTGGAGAAATGCATGGTTACGAATGAAGATCTAATTCAATTGAGTGTGAGAGTATATCAAGTCCAGAGGGAGCCTCCTTAAGCTGGGGGGGAGAAGAAGAAGAAGGAACCCGTCTACACATGTTCCGGAAGAGATATACGTCGTACTGCAGTCATCTATTATAATGTGGCAATGGAGAGGACAAGATCAGCATCTGCCAAGTCTGTGCACGTGTACAAGCATGTACGGCACCGCTCTAGAACCTTTTCATTCGCTGCCTAGCATTGCTGCTACTATTTACTAAATGCGTTTTCCAGGTGCGGAGTATGCACGATGCATTCGTCAAAGGCCAATGGGGTTGGACGCAAACTGTAGCTTCTCCGCAAATGTGTTTCACATGAAGCCGAATCCTCTCGGACATATCGACCAAAGGACCGGTGGCGGATGCTACACCGCGCGAGTCCCGAGACATTCTTTGGTACGAATTCGTCTCCCTGCTTTTAAAAAAACGTAACGGCTGCCTTATTTCCCTTTCATACCAGACACGAGGTAGCGGTCAAGCTGGAATAAAACCTGCATTCCTCATTGGCGTTATGTTGCTAGTATAGGTGCCTTGGCAAGCGTGTATTGAACGCGGAGCTATATAGTATATCTCTCTCATCAAAGGTTTTGAAAGCTGGACGCGTTGTTTTGTGTCATTATTTCTCTCTTGTCCATGTAGCAGCTCTCACAGGATTTAGGTATGCATAGCAACAAGCGTACCTAGGCAGATTAGTGAGTGTATTAAGCATCCGGTTTGTTATTCGTGCTGCTGTCATACTAAACGGACTATGCGGTGGGGTTTCAAAGCTAGTGATCATAAATTCGATGTTGTCACATATTCATCAATCTGTTTCCTCGGCACTGAATCAGTAGATAATAGAAGAAGAAAAAATAGAGAAGCAAAAAAGCCCTATAATCCATCCTGCCGCCTGTAACGCCAATAGTATGCAGAATCAAGGCTATATCTACTAAATATAGTATTGCCTGGCGTGATATATATATTACTCAGTCATTGAATCGTCAGTCAAAAATTGTATCTGGTTGGATGGATCATCTGCCGTCATGAGATTTTGCGTATACTCGCTTGCCAGGCTATTTCCTTCTGTGTGCTCATTGCGCCGCCTGTGAATCTCATTCATCCCTTGGCACGCCATCTCCGCAATGTGATGCAGTTCGTCCAGGGTGCTCGGGTTGCAGTTTGTAAAGACGCCATCAAGGCTTTTTTGCCATACTGACGTGGTGTTTTCCACAGCAGTCTGGTACGCATTGGTATCATAATCTGTGACGCCTATATAGCCAGGTCGTTCTCCGAGCCGTTGGAGGAGGTAGTCTTCTCGGGAGTCTTGCGGCAGGTACTCGACGAGCTCGCCCGATGGCGTACAAGGCTGGCGAATACCCATGACGACTTCGACGAAGCGCTGAGATAAGCTGCGAGCAAGGCCACATGGGTCGATGAGGTCGAATTCCGGGCTAGTATTAAGATCTTCTCTGAGGTAGAGATCATAACCCAGGAACGACGCTCGGCAAATTCGCAGATTAGGCATGGTGCAGCGCAGCATCATGGCTATCCAACAATCGTCTTCCTCGGGACGCTGGTTAGCGATGCCAACCCACAGAACCTTTTTAGAGTCCTCGTTCCAGTCGCGTGACCGCTCCGTCTTCAGATACACTTCATTGAGATATAGCTCTTCGAGCAGAGCTCCAAACTCTTCTGTAAACCGCTTGAACACTTCTGGGGAAATCTCTACTCGCTTCAGTTCAAGGCATGTCAAGTTGTCGAGCATTATCCGGGGAGGAGGTATCACACGTGCTCTCCACTCGTCGACGGGTGTATGATAGAACTTGGTCTGCTTCAGTCCTCGGGGTGGTCTATCGTCATGCTCCATGCCTACTATGCACAATGTTTCGAGGAGCTGTGCGTGCTCGACGATGTTCCAAAAGCACGACCCAAAGAGGCTCACTCGGGGCGGATCTGTCTCGTGGCGGCGGAGGGTAATCACCAGGTGCTTGAGTACGGCTACGGTGGTCATGATATTCATCACATCGCTAGGGTTCATCCACAAGTGGCATATGGCGACATCCGTGACGTTTTCCAGCACGAGAACTTCCATTGATGCTGAATCTTCTTCCGGGCGTGAGGCCAGTGCTTTGAAAGTGTTGGCGAGGATAATGGTAGCAGCGTTGCAGTTACGGCCTACCAATTGGAAAGGCAGACTTAGTCTCATTCGGTCAACGTCTCGGCAGTTGAAAAAGAGGGCCTCGACAGTCTGGTAGTATTCTTGCTCGGTAAAGGAGGACTCGCTCATGCAGTAGAGGTTTTGGAGGGACTGGCAGAACTCGGCCATCCAAGGCACGCGAGCAAAGACTGTGTTTAAGAAATCGACTTCCACTATCGGCGCTGAGTTAGTCCACTTGGGTTCTCTCTTTTAGGCTATGGTAGGAGAGAAAGTCTGGAGAGAAAGTCTCACTTTCGTCCCGAACAACCATCAGGTCGATATAGAGGCTCTTGCAGTGGTAGCCAATGGTCTGTAGAGCATCGATCTGTGGCCGGGTTTGGCGGCTGGTCCTGCTAAGGCGAGAGAACTCGAGCCCTAGAGTACGGCAGACGAAGGGTTTGAGGATCCGGTTGAAGGCTCGACACACGAGGCGGAGGCCAAGAATGGCGTTCTTGGGACCGGATGCGACGCATTGCAGCAGGATGGCATCAATGAGCTCTGGCGGAAGCCGATTCATCGCGTCGTCTGGTAAGCTGGCGGCGGGGCGTGGTGCAAGGCAAAGCCGCCGGGATGCATCTGGGTGGGATCGAGTCTGGATGAGAGAAGAAGGCTGAGCTTCTGGGCGTGTGGACGAGGCGAGGTGGATGGCGATTGGACTTGCAAAGGGAGAAGCGAGGTGCTAATTAAACAGCGTGCGAGAGCGTGCTGGTTGCGATGACATGACCTGCTGTAGCTCGGGAGCTTTAGCGGCGATGGCGTTAGTGGTAGGCACTCTACGGTATCTTATCAGCGCCGTTTCATGGCATGAGCACCCGATGGCTACCCTGTAGCAAAGCGTGCATTCGGCATTCGGGGGCTCTTTGACGATGGAAGGGGGAAATGTCAGAAGCTTGGTGGAAAGAAAGATGTGCATGTGAAGTATAAGTGTGTTGCAGCTGATAGCTGTAGTGCGGATACAGATGAGGATTAATCAGAGATCGTCTCATGGGCTGGCGATGCTGACCTGACGATCATTCTGACAGCGTACCAAGAAGCGACTTGAAGAAAAGACAACAAATAAGGCACCTAACCAAGTATCACTCATTGTGTGATCTTGATTGAACATGAAACTCCTACCAGAAACGGAACACGGAAAGCATCCTGTACATTGCATACAATACCGACCTTACTCCTACCAGACGCCGAACCAACACCACGAACGAAGCCCCAAGCCAAGCTGCAGCTCGGGTGTGGCCGTCGTTTGTACACAGTGGGTCTGTGGCGGCTGGCGCCCGAGGCTAGTGGCATCTTGCAGCACGATGGAAGTTTGGAAGAGATTTGGAGACTTGAAGTCTTGTCCAGATCAGAGGCAATATGGAGTGCCAGCTAGTTTCCGAGTAGGTGGTCAATTTCTGGGGATTTGGAGTAATATGCACGGAAATTCACCATTTGTACGTAGCAAGCGGCTATAGCTACCAAAATGTAGGGCTGCGAGTCAAAACACGCAATTTCTGTACATGCCACGCATCTGCCTGACGTGCCTGGATATGGTATCATCCAGCAGTATAAGAAAGTACCTTACCCAGTATACATGGCAAAGTCGGAAATTAGCAGATGACAAATGTTCTAGAATTTCAGAGTAAGCTTTCGAGAGGTATGATAGGAAAGGGTCGGCGTCGACTATTGACCCCGTGACCGTCAGTCGGAAAAGGGAGAGCGGAGGCCAGCAGCAGTTCGACGATAAAAGCCCAAGGAAAAGGAGCTCTTTAATGAGATTTCGGTTCCAAGACTGTAAAAACGAGATTTCAATGTCCCCTCCCGTACCTGAGACCTCGTACTGGTGAACAGAGCCCGCCAAGTCGGGTCGTGGAAAGGCAGGCCCGTTTATCGGCTTTGACGTGCCGGGATGAGCGACGCTTGCATGGCACGAAACCGCAGTCATGGCAGCAAATTTGCGACTGTTGAGTAGGGTCCGGCACGAGAAGCCGAAACCACCGCTGGCTGCTCACGGGTAGATATATAGCTGTGAGGTGGGGGCAAGTAGGGATGGAAAAGAAGGAGACGAAGAAAAGGGCAAGCTGTGATGGTCTGCAGTTGGTGTTGAGGCGCACGGCCACAGCCAACGCTCTAGCAACCGTCCCAGCCACACAAGATGCAGAACTGACATCCGATGCGACTGGCCGCGTGCATGCAGCAGGCTAGGGGGAGATCTCACCGCGCTGTTTGATGGTGTCTGGAGCTATGATGGTGGCCATGGAGCATGGGCCGTGGGTGGCCTCGCCGCCTTGTCTGAATCGAGGAGGTCTCATCGGCTGGCCTGCGAGAAGTGGCCCATCAATCCATATTTTGAAAAAATGTCTAGGTACTGCGCGCCGACAGAATGTATCTTGTTGGCTGTCCGGAAGTATCTTTTGCCCCTGTCACGTACCGCCAAGTCTCTGCAAGCGTGGTCCAGGGGAAGTCGGCACGAGTTGCGGGGCGCAATTGGCGTTTCTGATTGGCGAGCTCGTCGGAGCTTCACAGGCTGTGGCGGGAGCTTCCACTTTCTTCTGCCAAGGAGGGAAGTCTTTTTCCCTTCTTTTTCTTTGGCGCGGCAACTCGGCCTCCACGAAATAAAGCTATCACGGGAAAATGATGCAAATTGAATGAATGTCAGCAGCTCATATTAAAGAAATTGTACTTGCTACGCTCTCAATTACGCGGCACAAAGACGGATAGAGGGCATCATGTGTAACTGGTACCTAGTATACAACCACGGTACCGATGTAGCAGAGGAAGGGTCGCGCTGAAACGCCCCCTTTGGTATTAAAATGGTGACATGTTGTCGCAAGTCATCATGTTCCCTCTCTGCGATGACACACTGGTGGTGTTGAGAAGAGAAATAACTAGGTACAGTATGACGACAGCGAGAGAGAAACAAAATAATAAGCAGCCGTGACTCCGTCGAGAGCAGGGAGGGCGAGACAGAATGCGCTGAGCTCTCTGGCCAAGGGAGCCGAGCAACAGATTTAAGGTCTCAGTGCTCACCCAATGGTTACATGTGCCGCAGCTGGTATGCCCGCAACAGAGTACGAGGTGGTTAACCTTCTTTTTCGCCGTGTTGCAGCGCCGCATGTACGCACATACGGCAGCATCATGTGTTGCTGTAGCCGAGGCGGTGGCTGACGGCGGCTTCTGCATCGCCAAAGCATCGCGGACACTGACGCTGCTGTACGAGCCGGGCTACGCCATACTGGGCATGGTCAGCATGAGACGGTACTTTGGTGCCAATAATCGTCCCCGTTTGCCTCTTCCCTTCCAGATCCTTCATTCTTATCATGCCATGCGTCCCCTGACCCAAGAAGCGCAATTCTCTCGCACCAAGAGCATAGGCTAAAAGGTGCGCCGTACTCCTTTAGGCCGCGGGACTTCTCCGTACAGACTCCCGGCACCTTGGCGCGCGGTCTGGATGTGGCATAGGCTGTCGCGACGACCAGCTCCATTACGACATCGTGCTTTGGGCCAAGAGGAGCGGGGTGGGTTCACGATCATCTTCCATTGTTGCCCAAGTCCAAGACACCGGGCAGGTCGCTCTGCCGTTGCCGCCATGGCAACGCCGGACGCGTCTCTCCCAGAAAAGGGCAGCATGGCAGAGCACAGAGGGACCGCCTGACCAGAGCCCAGAATTCGCCGTGAAACCGCGCAGATGTTGGCGTGCAAGTCCAAATAAGCACCACCGGCCCAGAGCCTACTGGCATCGCCATGACATCAAGATGCGCGCAGCCACTGCCTATTTGCTGCGCGGAGCAGGAGCTTCAGCCACGCGAGGCCGTTAGTGCCAGCTTCGTGTAGGATATCCAAATGCCACTTTCGTATAAGCGGCCATCGCAGCGCAGAAGCCAGCGGTCTCGCCCTCTGCGCGCTGCCTGTACGAAAAAGAAGCCCACACCACCATCGCAAAACCCCCCCGCCCTCTGCAGGTCCTTCAGTAGCCCACCCCTGGCCTCAATCTTTAGTCGATACGGACAACTCGGCGCTGGTGGTGCCGTCGCCGCCTGTGATTGGCCTGGCCCTGGACATTTCTGCCCTGGCCTATCTCGCGGCCTATCAGACGCCGCGCTGGCATCGCAGGTACTTGCGGTACTTGCGGTACCTGCGTGCTAGCGGTGGTACTTTGGACGCGGCAGACGCAAACAAAGGAATAGAAGAGAAAAAAAAAAGTCCACGTTCACCCCATGTCCTTGGCGGTAATGAAAAACCGTCGCCGCTTTCCCATGGGCTGTCGTCGGCCTCGCCCTTGCTTCTTTCTTATTTAGGTGACGGCCCTGACAGCTGGCACGCCTTAGGCCCTTCTTTCTCTTTCCCTCCCGCCCTTGACCCGAAGAGAAAAAAAAAACATCCTTGACCGGACCTCCCAATTCCTCTTCTCGCAACTCCATCACCGCATTTGCATCAGCATCAGCATAATAGCCCGTCTTCTTTCTGAAGCCATCGCCAGCCCCCGTTCTTGGAGTTTGCTCAGCCGTGGTCTTTGTGCCCTTTTTCATCTCTTAATCATTTTTCGTGATACCCTTGTGAATTTGTTTGTCAGCCAAAACAACTTCGAAAATGCGATCCTCCGCCATCTTCGTCGCCATCGCCGCCACTGCGGTCTCGGCCCAGGGAACTGTTCCGACCTACAAGAGCTCTCTGAACATGACCATTGACCCCAACACTGTTGCCCAGCAGCAGCGAGGTAAGGCATTCTGCTTTTTGTTTTTTCCTACTTTTTTTTTCCTGCCGTTTTTTTTGGCGGTGGAATGCTTCCCATTGCAGGCTTGTGCGAGGCGCTGTTTGCCCTCTCAGTTTGCTCGCTGCGATTTTGACGATAATTTCGGTGGCTAATTTTGCTCTTGTTTCTAGCTGTTTGGTGCCAGGGCCAGACCAACACTTGCCAGGTCCTTTGCGACAATAACACTGACCAAAATGACTGCAACCAGGTGGGTTCATCCGCAATCGCTGATCGATCGTTGTCTGGGGAATAAGCGCTGATCAATACTCGTCTTGTCACAGGCTCAACTGACCTTTGACTGCACATGCGCTTCCAACAACTCGGCCCCTGGTCTCCAGTACTACACCCAGACCCTGCCCACCTTCATCTGCCAGCAGCTCTTCTCCAGCTGCATCCAGTCCAACGCTGGCAACGCGGATGGCCAGGACGAGTGCAAGAGCAAGATCCAGAAGCTTTGCGCCACCCAAAACCCTCCCACCATCGCTGAGATCAGCAAACAGGCCGAGGCTTCCACTGCTGCTGCCACGACCGCTTCCACCTCTTCTGCTGGCCACGCCTCCACCACCTCTGCCGAGCAGTCTGCTAGCAGCTCTGCCTCGTCGACGTCCTCAAAGGGCGCCGCTGCCGCCACCATGGCCCCTGCAGGAGCTGGTGTTTTTGCCATGGCCGCCGCTGGTCTGGCCGCTTACGCCCTCTAGATGAGCTGAGCGATTCAGTCTGAGCTGCTGGTAATGTCTGGCGACCCAGCCCGTGGTAATGGTGCGTGCTCTAGGAAGGGAAGAAAAGGGGCACTGGGTCAATGCTTGGACGAGGGGCCTCGCTTCTCCATAAACCACTTTGTTATCTAGTACACTTTGTTTGTTTGATATCACCACCCCCCCTTTAACGAAACCCAAGACGACGAATATGATCGAGGGCATAATGATGGTTGCGTGTTTTTTTTTCACCCCTTCGAGTTCTACTTTTCGCGTTTACCAAGGTCATATGTCGTGGTTATGCCTGCCACTCGGCCGACTTTACATTTAATCTGTTGAAGGCGCAGTTAGGGTAGTAGCCGCGCCGACTCGGAGGGGAGGAGTCTTTTTTGAGCTTTATTCACATGGCAGAGGCGAAGGGGAGTAGGACAGTTGTTTTAAGGCATACAAAATGCAAAAAGTCGTTTGACAAAAGATGAAATGTGCACACTTAATGATTATCTCGTCATATCGTATGGTTCAACGCCATTGAAAGCTGATTGTCTAGGTCCATCGAATCTTTCAAGTAGCTGATAGGACACTACCCAGTCGAGTTTTTGAGGTGCTTGCAGGCTCGACTGCTGCACAAGTTCTGCTTTAGACAGCATTCTGACCAGAGTAAAATACATGCTGAGGCAGACTCCCAATGAGTACTGGGAAATCAGCTGCATCGCTCATGGGTTGCGCACTTCTTCCCTTGGTCCATTTTCTTTATGTCATAGAACTGACGAGGGACCAAATCGAGCCCTGGTAGTGAAGCAACCCGATTTAAGACTTTGCATTCTGGATGCGAGTACCTACTAGTACGCAGTTCACCTCAACAAGTCTGGACTTTTATCAGCCTGGTCAAGCAGTACGAGGAAGAGATCCAACGTAGATGGATATCTATGCGGATTCATCTATAAACTCATAGCACATTTGAGGGAGAAAAGGCACATTCAAGTATGGCAGACATTCGGATTATTATTCAATCATTGCTCTTCAGCTGAATTGTGTATACACACCTCCAGTGCCTAGACAGCAGGTAAAGTAAACAAAAACCCTCAAGTTTCCAATAAGAAAAAGAGATTAGCCCGGTAAATTGTTGGGAAAATCACAATTCACACGCCGTTTCATGCCACAGCCTGATATTACCTTGACCTCCCTAGAATGAATAGGTCGGCTCAGAGGACTGTTTCCTCCTCCTCTCCTCCTTCCCTCGTAACAGTTTGCTTTTGTTCAGATTCGTAAATCTGTTCCACGCTTCCTATCATTGTCTATAATCGTTGTAAAAAATCAAATGCTCATGACACATATCTAAAAGATATAAAGAAAAAAAAAAACTGAATGCAGGAGAAATCACAAGATGACGGATTTAGACGCCGTTGGTGCCGTTGGCGCCCTTGGTGAAGGAGACGGCAGCCTCCAACGCCTGGAGAACATCGTTCTTCAGGTCCTCAGCATCCTCAACACCGCAGCTCAGTCTGACCAGGTCGTCAAAAACACCGACAGCCTCACGCTGATCACGGGGAATACCGGCGTGGGTCATGCTGCTAGGGACCTCGCACAAACTCTCAACTCCTCCCAGAGACTCGGCGAGGGTGAAGATCTTGGTGACCTGGCAGAATCGCTCGGCGGCAGCGTGGCCACCGCGGATGCGGAAAGACAGCATACCACCGCCCATGCCGTCGCGGTGCTGCTTGAGGGCAATTGCGCGGTGAGGGTGGGAGTCAAGGCCGGGGTAGTTGACGGCAATGACGTGAGGAGAAGCCTCGAGGGCGTGGGCAACGGTGGTGGCGTTGGTAGTGGCCTCACGAGCACGGAGGTGGAGCGTCTTGAGACCACGGTGAGCCAGCCATGAGTCAAAGGCCGAGGGCACGGCGCCAATGGCGTTCTGGAGGAAGCTCAGGCGGGTCTTGAGGTTGTCGCTGTTGAAGGCGGCAACGCCCATGACGACATCGCTGTGGCCGTTGATGTACTTTGTGACGGAGTGCACGACAATGTCGGCGCCCAGCTCCAGGGGGTTCTGGACGTAGGGGGACATGAAGGTGTTGTCCACGACAACGAGGACGCCGTGCTTGTGGGCAGCGGTGACGACGGCGCGGATGTCGACCAGGCGGAGGGTCGGGTTGCTGGGCGTCTCGATCCAGATCAACCGCGTGTCGGGGGTGATGTGCTCGGCAATGTCGACCTCGATCTCGGGCGTGAAGGTGACCTTGACGCCGTGGGCCTTGGCGACCTGCGTGAAGTAGCGGTGGGTGCCGCCGTAGACGTCCGAGACGGAGATGACATGGCTGCCGGCGGCCAAGCTCTGCAGAATGATGGCCGTGGTGGCGCTGCCGGAGGAGAAGGCCAGGGCGTAGCGGGCGTGCTCGAGGGCCGCAACGGCAGTCTCGAAGTTGTCGCGGTTGGGGTTGGAAGAGCGCGAGTACTCGTAGATGCCCACGGGCTTGCCGACGGCCGACTGGGCAAAGGTTGTGGACAGAGAGATGGCCTCAATGACGGCGCCGGTGGCAGGGTCGATGGGAGAGCCGGCGTGGACGGCCAGAGTGCCAAAGGCGTGGACCGGGGTCGGGGGCCGCACAGGCGTGGTGACGGGGTCAGAAGTCACGGGAGGAGACATTGTGGAAGTTTTGATTGTGATTTTTGAAAAAAGAGGTGGAATGTAGAAGAGAAGTTGGGTCGTGGTGTCGAGGCAGATTCGATCTGGACTCAACCGCTCTCTTTGTGCTGAAGCTTTTTGGAGGGGCAACTTTTTTTATGCAGGGTCTGCTTTATCTTATCGGACGCTGAGGAAAAAGAACCCTGATGTCGTCTTCGGTAGAGGAAATGTCGGAGCGATTGCGTCGATCAACACACAAATCAATGATTTTCGTTTTCACGATTAAGGAAAAAGAAGAAGATTAGGAGGTGGAGGCGAGAAGACCCTTAGAAATAGAAAATTCTGGCTTCACGCGAAGAAAAAAAATTGTAAAAAAAAAAGGGAAACTCCACTTCAGGGACGAGAGCAGAACAACTCTAAAAATGGTGTCATCCAGCCGAGCTGTGGGTAATGGGTGTAGTAGCGGCGATAGCACGTCACCGGCTCGTTTTGGGCAGTTTCTACTGCAGGAATGGGGGGGATGGATTATGGATTATGGATTACAGGTACCAATTTCTTTTTTCCGCAGGTGGGAAGCTCGACGCCCTTTTTATGCCAAAAGGCGGCTACAAAAGGACTGCCTGAAACTGTTTCGTGGCACGCAACGCAATTGCAAATCACATCATTTGCGTCCAAACAGAAGCCCTTTCTTTGTAATACGACCGCGCTGCCCTGCAGTATGTAAGCCACCTGCTCTGCCGTATTGCTAATGTTGGCGCGGTCCTTCGAGATACTTCTGTGTCATGGCGGCATGCAGAGGCGCATCACCCCAAAAGCCCGACCGACAGCCGCACCTCCATTACGACGAGTATCGGCGGGTAATTCTACCTGTTGCTTTTGTGCTTTTGGGGGGTAGCAGTGCGTCTTATCGCGGCAGGTGGGAAGCGATGCCGTGCGGAGGGCTGGAGTACTGCGACCTGGCGATACTTGGGCCATCGGATACGCTGCTGTTTTGCGTTCTCGATCTGTCACCAGCTGAATCTCACCGCCCCTTCCTAGCAGTTATCAATTACTGTAGATCATCGATGGCCTCGGGGCCAGAGCCCGTCCATAGCTTCAACGGGCGATCTACGCAGTGCTGGATAACTATCCGCTATCCGATGAACCCACTCCTAGTGCCATGCGACACGGCGTTTTTCCCACACGGCGGTTTCGCAGCGCATGGCAGAAAAGCCATCTACGAGGCATTACGGACTTTATGATGCGGATATTCTGGTGTTTTGGAGGGACGATGGAAAACTCCTTCGGTGGTGAACGAGGCCGAGCAATGCTTATCCATCTTCCTCTTTCGGCAATGGCCTTGGGTCGCATTAAAAGGACAATCTCGGACCAAGCTACATTAGCTACATGGACTATGGAGAGCATTAGTCGGAGCAGATGGATTCCAGCACCGGCCAGCACCGGCTCAGACTACACACGTAGTGGAATCTCTTATAAATCATTTCTCGACCAAAGAGAAGAAAAACAGCTTGTCAAACAACCATGCCATGCGGATGTCCACCGGGACTGGGATCCCCGTCGATGGTTCTACAGTAGTGTTACAAGCACTTTCGTTAGCTGTAGGAGGTATTCACGTGGCCTCTTTTGTGGCGGTTTCTTACTAACATGCATTGTGTGAGACAACGCCTTTTTGATGGCGTTAGTGTACATGGACTTTTTGTTGGTTGGTAGGTTTTGTGTAAGAGATGCAGCAGGGTATCATAAGACCGGGTGCACATAATGATGGCAATTTTCTTTGATACCCATCTAAAGCTTTTTATGTCTTTTATTTTACTCTTCATTAACCAATTCATGTTCTATTTAAAGCAAGGAGACGTCGGGTAAGGTACCCCGCAAAAAAAATGCCATACGTCACCTCGCTCTGAGAGCTAAATACCATATTCATCTTGTTGAGAATGCCTTCTTACCTTCCAACTGACTGCCAATGCTACCTATCATCGTTTATCAGGTACCAATGATACACAATGGCAGCAACAACAGAAACAGTTACAGTGCCTCTTGATGCACTCCCCAGACTTGAATATGGCAATGCCGTTGCCGCGCCTTCAATCAGACTGGAATCAGTCTCATCGCGAGCAAGGTCCAGCCAGAGTCACACAGGCTCCGAGACCGCAGAACACACTGCCAATGCTGTATTGACGGCAGAAACTACAGCCCCCGAGCAAGAGGAATACCCTGTAGGCGCAAAGTTCTGGTTTACGGTGCTGAGCCTCGTCATTTTGCTCATTCTCGGCGGCCTGGATGGCAATATCGTCGCCACGGCAGTCCCGAACATCACCGACTACTTTCACACCGTCGCTGACGTTGGCTGGTACTTGTCTGCGTACAAGCTCTGCGTCTGCTCTTTTCAGTTTCTGTTCGGCAAGCTGTATAACATCTTTCCCATCAAAGTGGTGCTGCTGACTGCCATTGCCACCTTTCTTGTTGGCTCTGTGCTCAGCTCTACAGCAAGGAGCTCCTCCATGTTCATTGTTGGTCGAGCTGTGACGGGGCTCGGCGCGGCTGGCATATTCGCTGGAGCTTTCACGGCTGCCGTCCATATCATGCCTTTGCGATGGCGTCCTGTGTTCAACGCTACTCTGGCAGGTATTGAGAGCGTGGCCGTCATTTCCGCGCCTCTGCTTGGTGGTGTCTTGGTACAAACCCTTTCATGGCGCTGGTGTTTCTATGTCAATTTGCCAATTGGTGGCCTTGCACTCGTCGTCACGCTGTTATTTTTTCCGGATCTAAAGGCTCACGGCGGCGACTCGGCGGCATCATGGCGGACCAAACTTGGCCAACTGGATCTCTTGAGCACCGTGGTCTTTGTACCTGCTCTGACTTGTCTCTTTATTGCATTATCTTGGGCTGGTCTGAGGTACCCTTGGAGTGATGCTAGGGTCATAGTCTTATTTGCTCTCTTTGGTCTGCTCTTTACCGCCTTTGGTTATATGCAGTATCGGAAAGGCGACGATGCTCTGCTGCCTCTTCGCATCATGAAACAGCGAAGCATCATGGCCGGGTTGATTTTCAGTTTGTGTACGAATGGGGCGTTGAATGTGCTAGAGTTCTATCTGCCTACATACTACCAGGCCGTTCGCGAATACCCGCCTGCCAAGAGCGGTTATATGATGGCGCCTATCCTGGCTGGCTTCATGATTGCCATGATCTTGAACGGCGCAGGGACCACGATATGGGGATATTACGTGCCTTCTATGGTACTTGCGTCTACGCTCATGCCGTTGGCGGCGGGACTCATGACAACTTGGCAGGTTAGCACCAGCTTTGCTCAGCTCATCGTCTACTCGGCTCTCACTGGGTTCGCAGGCGGCATTGGTTTCCAGGCTCCCCAAAGTGCCGTGCAGACTGTCTTACCCGCGTCTGATGTGCCACTGGGCTTGTCCGTGATCCTTTTTGCACAAAACTTTGGGCCAGCCCTCTTCGTAGCCGTTGCACAGACAATCTTCACTAATCAGCTGTCTACGAATCTGAAAGGGCTGGGTATTGCATTGAGTCCTGGAGAGATTGAAAAGCTGGGCTTGACAGACTTGAAAAAGGTGACATCTCCAGCGCTGTGGAAGGATACATTGGACAGCATTGACAAGAGCCTCGTGCAGACTTGGTATCTCGTCATTGGACTGACCTGCGTCACCATGATAGGGAGTCTGTCCATGGAGTGGCGATCTGTCAAGGAGAAGAGGCAATGATTCTAATGTACTTCTACCTTTATGTTGCCATGCTTGGGTACCGCGCTTTTGCTCTAATCTTGTTACCTAATACGCTGCCAAAGTTGTAAATGCTGGCTGATAGCACATGCTTGTGCGTCATTTGACAAGATGCTCATTTGCCTGTGGCCGTGAGTTGTGATCCTGCAAGTCATTATCTCTGAGCTGGCAACCTGAACTGCCCATCTTGTTGGACCGGATGTCGGTGCAGCTCCGCACAAATGTTCGGTTGGCTTGATCCTGCATCTGGTGCCGCACCTATTCCATAAATAGGCAGATAGACACAGTAAGATGGCCCAAACTAGAAGCTCACATTGGAGTTTCTGATACTACTGCTTTGCTAGCATGCTACCCGCATACATGTACATGAAGCTTACGAAGAGAGACTTGTCACGTTCAAAGATAAGGTAAATCATCTTGCACTTTTGCGTCAAGATGGCCCCACCGACCAACAGCGAGATGGATGAAAAACGGGAAAAGCATTGTAGAATTGGTATCTCACCCGAGAGAAAGAACTTCCGGGTCGGCAGCACCTTTGTTAAGCGAAGCCTTCGGCTTTGCGAATGGCAAAAGCAAAATGGTTACATCATGTTCCTTTATTCAATACGGAGCGTGTCCTTAATGAGGGTGCATGTCTTTTATTTCTTGCTAACACTGGTATCCCGCTCCCAAAATTACTTGGTTGCTTCAAGGACGACGGCGCAGTATACCTGGTTACTGGATATATGGATGGAGTTGGAATAAATGATGTTAATGCTAAGAGCCAAGTCGTAGTTGCTGAAGAGCTACAACGCCATGCACTCACGTTCAAGAAACTTACCTGACACCTGGGGGCGACCATGGAGAATGCGTCGGCGGAAGCAGCAAGATCTTGTGTTTTGTCACAATAATCTCTCCATGAACAATGTCATTGTTGATCTAGGCACGCTCAAGATCAAGGCCATCGTTGATTGGGAATATGCAGGTTTCTATCCACCTGAATTCGAGTTTCCGTTCTACCAGAGACCAGGGTCATCTGTCGCGCTGGATGGCGAGGTGGACGATTTTGATTTATTAACGCGGATGATTTCTGATGATGAGGACTGCGGAACGCGCAGTCTTTAGATACTTCTGATGTCGTCACGTTAAGGATAAGATAGATGATCTTACAATGAGCACCAACTTATTATGCAATACGCAGAGTGGTGCTCTAGCGGCCGATCCTTGCAAGAGGCTTTCGCAGGCCTATCGTAGCGACTACTAAGAAGGATGCGAATGCAAACTGATCTGTTAGACAGCCGTCCAAGTATGGCCTTTGATGTTCCAAAGGCATTACATTGACGCAAATAGTATACCCCGGATATAAATCAATAAGACGTTTTGACTTTCTCATGTGAGAGTATCTGGGTCACATCAATTTGACCGGGATACTCCGTACTACTCCATCTGCTCTTGACTCCTTATACGGGGTTCGCCAACGGACCCTTCGCCTGGCACTGCTATTCCGAACGATAAAGCTGCACAAACTCAAAAGGCAATCTCGCTAATCGCTCACCATCATCGTTGCCGGGAACAACTGTAAAGCTTTCCATCGATGCGTCATCCATCTGATGCCGTCCTCAGACGCAATGATCTCTGAGCCAGCTGAGGCTTGGACGGATGACGCGGGCGTGTTGGCCCAGCGCCTTCGGAGAAACGAGCATCCGAGCTCTTTTGGGGCGTGGCTGCGCCTCTGCAAGCTGGCTTATTAACCAAAAAGAGGCTTCATCAAGGCACCGCTCGTACTCGTAAACATCAAATCGCCAATCCAGCCGGCCTTTGATCGCCCCTCCAGACGGCTCTTTGTTAGTATCGAACCCATACTAGAAGTTTTGCCTGTCCGCCGTCAATTCCTGGCCACGGCACTCCAGCTCTAGCCGTTCAACATCGCTGGACGCTGCGCAGTTGCATCGTTCGACAGACTCGGAGCCGACCGTCGGATTTCGCGACTTGCCCCTGCAAAGCGCCTGCAGCATCACCAAAAGGCGCCTTTCCCACGGCCCGCGTGGCGATGCCACCAGTGCGTGGCGCATCTAGAATCGTCGCTGCACGCACTCTGCAATCTCACCAGCGAATCCGGGACTCTCCTTATGCCTCCTAGACGGTCGCACAAAAAGTCGCGCGCGGGGTGCCGGCGGTGCAAAAATCGCAAGATCAAGGTGAGAAAAAAAAAAGATTTATAAAAAAACTTGAAGCGGAAAGGAAATGGACAAAGCACCCATGTCTTTTCGTCCGGGAACTCCTAGCCAACATCTTGTATGCCCTGAGATACATGAAGCTGATGCGATCCATCGTCTTGTTGTATAGTGCGATGAAGTCCATCCGCGTTGCGGAAATTGCTCCAAACATGGTGTCATGTGCGACTTCGAGAGCCGCCAAGTGCTCGACGAACTGCATACACTTCCCACCCCGGTCACCAGGAGCCCTCAAGCCCCAGTATCCGCGCCGACATCATCAGGCTCGATAACGATGACATCGACGACGGCGCCATCCACAGCAGGGATCCCTGCGTACGACGACCATCGAATATCTCCTTCACGGCTCTCGCCCCCTTCCACGTCCTCAACGCCCTCACTCACGCTACCCTCCGTCCCCATCATCACATCCATGACGAGACAAGGAGACAGACTTCTGGAATTTCAGCTATGGCACCAGTACATTAGCAGCACGTCCAAAACTCTGGTTATGAACTCTCCTGCTAGTACGGACATTTGGCAAAAGGACGTCCCACGCTTCGCTCTGGAGGGGAGAACGTATTTGATCGACGCGGTTCTCTCTGTGGCTGCATTACACTTGCGCTTCAAGAATCCCGAAGACAGGGTCATGATTGAGGCATCCCATGCCTACTCTGCCTCTACCTTGGCGGAATATTGCCGCTCACTCAACAAGGGTATAACCGCAGAAAATGCCGACGCCTTGTTCCTCACTTCATGCCTTATTGCGTTCCAGGCCACAGCCTCTCGTCTGTTCATCAAGGAGGATAGCGATCTGACGGATCCAAGCGAATCGCACCGCCGATATGCATTGCCTCTTTCTTGGTTTCATGCTTTCCAAGGCGTCAAAACCATCGTCGCCACATCTTGGCAATGGATCCGAAACAGCGCCACACTGAAGGTGGTTATCGACTCTCAGCCTGGCTCCATGTTGGATCTGAATCCGCTCGGGCCAGAATCCTTTTTTGGCCACCTTCTCGATGATCTAGACGAAGAGCTGGAGCAGGAAGATGAGAGTAACAGAGCCGCAACCAACCAGGGCTACTTCCATGCTGTCTGTGTTTTAAATTGGGCCCATAAGAATCAGTACGCTCCTTCTGCATTGGCACTTCCCTCAACTGTATCACGTCGTTATGTTGAGCTTGTTGAGGCTAAGAGACCTCGTGCGCTCGCCATTCTCGCCTGCTTCTTTGCATTGCTCAAGCGTATGGATAACGTATGGTGGCTAGACGATGTGGCTCGTCGAGAGGTTATGGGCCTTGTGAGTCTATTCGAGACTGGCTCGAAATGGTGGAGGCATCTTGAATGGCCGATCCGGATCGCCCTATGGGACGGAGAAGCTGATGCTATCCCGGCCGATATATGGGGTGTGGAGCGGAAGGAGAACCCTCCCGCAGACGGAGGCGTGCTATCCGCAGAGACGATATTGAACCATATCGATCTTATGGCCAAGATGATGGACAGTACCCAAGGGCCGCAGTCAATAGAGTCCATCCCCGTGGTGGGAGACTTGGATGGCTTGGTTCCACCGCCACTCGACTAGAAATCTTGAGTGACCATTCTTGGGACATGCGCCAACGCCTGGCACAGCCTCTCAGAAGTGTATTATTTGCTGTTGATGTTGCAGCTGCTCAACATCATTCGGATAATTCGGCCTTGTTCAGAAGAGGAGACACTGATGTATAGATAACCACGGAAAGATGTACGAGCGTGGGAGTTTTTTTTTTATTCCTTTTTTTCTGCCCCTTCTTACCTTCTTATTGGGAGATGGGTTGTCTCTTATTTTTATTCCCCCTTTTTATCGAAGCTGCAATGCAGTTATCACTCTTGCATGTTTTATTTTCTAATTTCTTTCACGAGCGATTCGTAACTGGGCGTTTGGAACGGGGTCTATGGTCAAAGACGATCTGATGATAGCAGGGCTCGTGGATTCTAGCACTTCGGAGTCACTTTGTTTCATACTGATATGGAGGACGACATGACACATAATTCTACGGGGTTCACAAGGAGTCAAGATGATATTGGGTATGGTACAATTGCATCTAGGAGTTGTGCTGCTAGAGTTGTGCCGTGAATGCGAATACAATGGTTAAAACGTTACTTGATCGTGCGAGACAACGGATGTGAACTGAAATATGTGAATGCTTATGAATCTAGATCCATCAATTCATCTCATTATGATGTCTTGATAGTAGAAAACAAAATCTCAGGACACTATATAGCAGTGATCGATAGAAGCCGACTATAAAGCCGCCCAAGACGCCAAACTCCAATTCCCAGAATTTAAGCACGCCAGACATCTTTTTCCCCTCCTCCTTCCCTCCATTCTATTAGATTCTTGTTACTTTTGCTCCTTTATTTCTTTGCTCGCTTTGAATCGTCAACTTCGACAACGTCGTCCGCTTCAGCGGCATCGTCGCGAGATCTCTTCAATCCCTTCATCTTTCTTGTCTGCATCTGGCTCAGGTCCTGCTTGCCCAAGTGGACACGACCAAGCTTGTCACCCATTGAGTCCATGGAGACGTTCTTCTTCGTCTTCTCCTCCGTGCCGCGGGCCTTCCTCATCGCCTCCTTGAGCATCGCCTCGTCTGCCTCCCTCATGCGTCCGACCCGCAGGTCCATGCGGGGACCAATCTCTTCAACTTCTACGCGGGGCAGCTTCTGGCCGCTGCGCTTGGTGCTGATGAGGTACACCCGCAGGTGGATGGCGGGCTTGGCGTCGCCTTCGCCGGCGGTGTCCTCGGCGGCGATGGAGACGATGTACTGCAGGCCCTCGACGTCGATCTTGTCCGCGGTATCTCCCCGGAAGAAGTCCATGAAGAAGCTCTTTGCGAGCGTGTATTCGTTCGGCACGGGGCTCTCAAAGGCGCTGCCCGCGAAGAGCACCATGGGTCGCATGCCAATGGCAAACTTCTTGGTCTTGAACTGCGTAATGGAGCGGTAGCTCTCCTGGTCGAGGTACAGCTCCAACATGTCCAGCACCTTGTGGCCAAACGTGCGGATAAATGTCAGCGCATGGGGGCGCTTCTTTTGTGTGCTGCCAAAGACGAAAAGGCTGGCGTCGTTCTTCTCCGAGAAGAACTCGATGGATGCGGCGTCCTCAAAGGGGTGGATGGGGTTCTTCTTGGTGAATTTCTTGGAGAGGGGCTGGCGCATGGAGAAGAAGTCGTTCATGGCATCTTGGACAACCTGGGAGCAGTTGTTGCCGCGGAGGAAGAGGCATGTTTTGGGGTTCTCGATGGCTTTGGGCTCGCGCTTCTCGAGGGCTCTCTTGGAGCGAGCGTTACGAGGTTTTCTGGAAGCAAGTTTTGCGTTGGGTTTTAACTCGAGGCCTGGAAATTTTCCTAATGAAGCACTGGGGGGGACGTTGGAGACTTACACTTGGCGAAGCATGGTGATAATTGGCAATGGGATTTTGTTAATCACTGTTTCATGCAGTTATGCCAATCGCCGTGATGCCTTCTTGACGGGTCAGCCAAAAACTCAGAAAAAAAAAAAAAGTCTTATCGATAGCATCAACGGCAACGAGCAGCTACAAGGCACCGCCACAGGCCAAGCGCGGAGTAAAGCCACAGCGCTTCTATTTCCGACCCCACAGTCACGTGTAGCCCCTGATGAGCGACGACATCTAGTATTCTAAAGCTTACCAACCCGGACGGACCGGCGACAGCCTCGGTAGGCCGATTTCCCCACACAGCATCAAAACAAACCCGTCCTTTGGCCTGCAGGTGACGTGCCTGGAAGTCGCCCTCTTTGCATCTTATTGCCTAAGCCGGAGCCGCTCTACCGTCCTAGCCCTTGCTTCTTCCCGTCTAAGCGCGTGCCGTTTCGTATCCGCTAGCCAACGCTCGAGCAACCCAGCCGCGGCTGAGTCCATCTTCGACTTGTTTTCATCTTTCTGGCTGCCTCTCTGTTCAGCTTCTTCTATACCTTGTGTCCTTTTTCTTTCTTTCTCGTTACTAGAGCAGCAACAGACGCGATCGATATACCCCGTGCGCATTTCATTACAAACCATACAGCCAAGATGTCGTTTATGGGAGGCGCAGAGTGCTCCACGGCTGGCAACCCCTTAAGCCAGTTCCAGAAGCACGTTCAAGATGATAAAACACTCCAGCGAGACCGCCTCGTTGGCAGAGGGCCAGGCGGTCAACTGGGCGGCTTCCGTAGCTCGGCTGCCAACGCTCCCCAGGATGAGGTACGTTGTTTTTGATCGATATATGCGTGTTTGTTTATTCCGCCTCGAGGACGCGCATTACTAATACGCGATATGTATATGGTTTTGTAGATGATGAACGGTTTCCTCAATGCTGGCCCTGGCCTTCAACAAGAGTTTCCCACTTTACCAGGCGGGCCTGCTGGCCAGCTTGCCCCTGCGCCGCCGCGAGCGCAGTCAGTGTCGCCATCATGGGCCCAAGACTTCAACGCCCAGCAGCCCAGCATGGATCAATTCGCACCACTCAGGCCTCTGTTCAGCCCCGAAGAATTTGCTCGCTTTCAACAGTCAAACCCGGCTGCCGCCGCCGCAATGGCGCCTCAGATGATTGGTGACTTGTCTTCCGCGATGGCTCAACCCACGATGGCTCAGCGACCGATGATGGGCATGGGCATGGGCATGAACATGGGTATGGGATATGGCCAGCCCATGATGCAGCCGATGTACCAGCAACAGCAACCTATGCAGCAGCAACAACAGGACCTGAAAGGCAAGGGTAAGATGGTTGAACTGGATGACAGCAAGTGGGAAGAGCACTTTGCCCAGCTCGAACTCCAAGACAAGGAAGAGGCCAAGGAAGCCGAGAAGCAGGCAAAGGCTGCCGAGGGAGAGTTGGAGCAGATGGACAACCATCTCCAATCGGAAACTAATGAGTTTGGTGACTTCGAATCTATTTGGAAAGGAATTCAGGCTGAAACTGCTGATGCTAGATCGATGGTCAACGACCAACAGTACTTTGACCAATTTGATACCGAATGGGGCCAGGATCTCATGCCTGACTTCAATGGCCCGAATGATTGGGGACGATTCGCCGACCCGATTGTCGAGAAATACATGTTTGAGCAAGAGAACATCTTCCGCGAGCAGAAGAATGCCTTTGCCGAAGGTGTTCGTGTCATGAAGGAGGGAGGTAACCTGTCCCTGGCAGCCCTGGCGTTTGAGGCTGCTGTTCAGCAAAACCCAGACCATGTCGAGGCTTGGGTATACTTGGGCTCTGCTCAGGCCCAGAACGAAAAGGAGACGGCGGCTATTCGTGCCTTGGAGCAAGCCTTGAAGCTCGATCCCAACAACCTCGATGCCATGATGGGTCTGGCTGTTTCATATACCAACGAGGGCTACGACAGCACAGCATACCGCACACTCGAGAGGTGGCTGTCTGTTAAATATCCCAACGTTCTCAGTCCTGTAGATCTCCACCCTGCCGCTGATATGGGATTCACCGATCGACAGCAGCTGCATGATAAAGTGACCAGCCACTTTATCAAGGCCGCCCAGCTTAGCCCTGATGGCGAGCACATGGATCCCGATGTCCAAGTCGGACTTGGTGTACTGTTTTACGGAGCTGAAGAATACGAAAAGGCAGTGGACTGCTTCCAATCAGCCCTTCACTCTTCGGAGTTGGGCACCACAAACCAACAAGAGCAACTTCACTTGCTTTGGAACAGGCTTGGTGCTACCCTCGCCAACAGTGGAAAGTCAGAAGAGGCCATTGCTGCTTATGAACAAGCTCTGTCTCTGGCGCCCAACTTTGTCCGCGCTCGTTACAACTTGGGTGTGAGCTGTATTAACATCAACTGCCACCAGGAAGCAGCATCTCACTTCCTTGCCGCTCTTGACATGCACAAGACGATTGAGAAGTCTGGCCGCAGCAAGGCATACGAGATCCTGGGTGACGGTGCCTCTGGCCAAATCGACCAGGCTCTCGACAGAATGTCTGCTCAGAACCGCAGCAGCACTTTGTACGATACCCTGAGGAGGGTGTTTACGCAGATGGGCAGGAAGGACCTTGCAGACAAGACGATTCCTGGCGTTGACCCTGACATTTTCCGACCCGAGTTTGACTTTTAGAGACTCTTTGTTGAGCAGTCCGTTGAGCATTAAGATATTTTAGCGCATCAATGAGTCGAAACGGCCTCATTGCACTCGAGTTACGTTTTTGGTCCATCTCATGAAATTGGATCTACGATGAACATTTATTTATTTTTTCCTCGTTGGAAAGAAAGAAGAAGAAGGAAACAAAGGGGGGAGGTCTTATGAGAAACATTTTTTTGTCTTTGCCCCTTGGGAGTATAATAATTTGCTGGGATGCAGCGTGGGTATTGGGCTTGGATTTATCAAGAATATATATGCAAAAAACAGAAGGAAATACAATTGATGCTTGGATTAGATGAATATATTACGAGTCATATATGGTAGATTCAATTGATGTTGTCTTCTACATTGTGTAAAAGCTTTGTATTTCATGCTGGATCCCAACGTGGTGACTATGTTTTCTTCTGTTGTATATCATTATGTATGAGTTGACATCTACATTTCTGTAATTGGTGATGTATTTCAACCCCAAAGTACATAGTTCTGCCGTCTTAGGGCCTACTACGTGCTGCTGAAGCTCGCTTCGACTTGGTGCTCAATCTCGCTTACAAGTGCTATATCTGTCCTTTTCATTCTTCCTATCGCAAACATGTCCTATGACCACATCTCAGTCTCACTCCAAGGATTTGTCCTGGTTCTCCTAGTAATGTGTGACGCGTTCATCTGTCTTTGTTCTCTTTTTCTTTGTTTTTTCCCTACTCCATTTCTCTTAAAAGGTACATTTAGTGACTTGTTGCTCTTCGTATTTGCCCCATAAATTAAATATGAAATTAGTATCGTGTCTCTGTACCTAGGTGATCTGAAAAGACATATCTACCAAGTGTCACGATGTCCCAACGATTTGGGCATTTTCAGCTAGCCGCATTCTTCTCGGATGCAGTAAAGTCGATTTATTCAGCTCCACAAAGACAGCAAATACGAGAGGCTGATTAAAAATGTAGCTAGTGTAGATCATTATACAAATCTTATTAGCCTTTGGGGGTTTGTACAACCTCACTAGACAAGCCTCACCGTGGAAAATAAAAGAAAGGGCGTCTCAGTTCAGGGCTCTCTCTTCCGCTTGCGTCTTTTTCATTATGCAATTTCGTCCCCATTGTCGTACAGAATAGCCTTTACACCTTCCGCAGGATCGGCAAGCCTTGTCAGTTCAGTCCCCAGTTCTCGGGACTTTGGGGGGGTAGCATCCGCCATCTGGCGAGGCAAATACACACACGCCCCTTTGGCCCCTCCAAGCTTACTTTTTCCCTCCAAGTTGTTTGATACGGCGGTGGCACGAGTGTTCAGCTCGTTGCTTCAATATCCACTGTCTCATGTCGCTTCCGGTTCAAATATACCTCTTATAAGGGCGTGTAGTGGCTAGTTACATGGCACAGCTGTAGCCGTCAAGGTACTAATTAAAGTTTTGAATTTGATTAAACATTAAACGTTATTCTGAAAGTTGGTTGTTGAAATTGCTGTCCTTGTATCTGGAGCGTTGTGGCTGGCGATCCAAAACTGAAGACGGCGACTTGGTCATGTGGTTCTATTTTTTCGAAGCATGAGGGTGAGGACGTCAGGATGAAGCAAGAACGGACTCTAGCATGCACAGTTTATTTGATTTTCAGGTACCAGGAGGCCACTGCGGACCGTATGTCATGATTATTGCCTACTTGTGACGTCTTTGCTTTGGCCTGCGTGTCAAGAGTGTGGAAAGGCCACGTTGTCGTTTCTTTGTATATTTACCTACCCACAAAACTGTTTATGCATATCATCATGTATATGAAAACGTAGGGCATATAAAAGTATCTCCGCATTTACAGGGAAAACCTCATGGAGGACCCGCATTAAGATAATGATATCATACAAGCTGTACTTTGGCTACCAAATTTAATCGCTAATTTCGTCGTAAATTACTGCTAATAAGCAAGGCCTACTAGCCAATTTCTGATATTAATCCAATAGAACGAACATATCTGTACTTTGTAAATACCGTAACATAAAAATGCAGAAAGTGTATCTACTTAAACATATCCTGAAAGACATGTCCACAATAGACTCGGCCGAGATGGCAGGCGATTCCGAGTACCGTAGAGGCCATTGCACAAATAACAAGCAAAGTCAATCCAGATGACATTGAAGGGTGTGTGATAGCGTCAAGTAAACATGTCAAGTTTGAATCGAAAGAAAGGCTATATGGACACACTCAGCTTCTATCGTCGCAACGCGAGCCCTTTTTATAATTCAACATTGCGATTTCTGCTCTACTAAGCGTAGTCAATCATTATTTCCCGTCCAAATATGTCGTTAATCAAGACACACACGTACCGCAATTGACATTCGCTTCCAACCGACTTATTGCCCTTCCATCAACTGGATCGAGCAAGCGCCGGTATAGAGGAGACAAGAACAGATCGAGATGCTCGCTTTTGGAGGAATATTTACCCATATCTTAAATAGCAGACACATCAGAGCTTGAGTTCAAAAGTCCTCGCTTCTAACGGAAGACCTTGTGGAGTTGAAATGCTAAACGTGATTTTGAAAGACCAAGTAACGAGATTGTGGCTCCTGAAAACTGATAATACAGAGTGACAAAAACAGTCGCACGGCGAGATTTGTAGCAACGGTTCACTAAAACTAACACACACACACTAATTTCTTGACACTGCTCATAGACAACCTCCTCGCAATTGCTACTTCTGATTAGGACTAAGAAGATGGCATTGTAGGTAGTATACAACATGAACCTGGTGACTCTCGCCTGCTGAGCCCCCAACTCCAATTCGACGCATCTCACATTTACCAAATATACACGCTCTAGTATAAAAGAAGGAAATCCAGATGCTGTGGGCGGCCGGGACGAACCATTCTATTGACCTTCCAGATTCTGCCAACGGACATCTCCACCAAAGACGCTCATCAAACGGCCATCTTCTGCAATACGAGCCAGTGTTCTAATCGCGTTTACCCATGCCATCAAACTTATTCTGAATGGAGCGGCAGGCACACTTGAAAACGAATGCAGTGCGCCGTATGATCTAACCCTTGTTCCTGGCCAGCGTACGCCCCCCATCCCAACAGATGTAGACATTTACGCTTTGGATATGCCGTCTGGGGCGTTCATCTCTGGCCAGAAAGTACTCGATACCTACATGAAAGGTTTTTTTTTTCTCCCGTTAATCACCGTTTAGGGGAAAAAAACATAAAAAGGTTAGATTGAAGAGCTTCTGCGTTCAGATGCAAAGAGTGCTTTCTTTAATCCGGATGGAACAACCGTATATGTGTAGGCATGGTGGAGAGAACTTTTTCGCAAATAAACTTAACTTTCTGGTCAAAGGCGAGAAGGAGCCAGTGGATTTACAAGGCGAGATATATCGCGCACGGTAATTTAAGATGAGATAGATATTGGGATTGGCTGAGAAAAGCTTCAGTTACGTTTATTGTTCTTTATAGCCTCCACGGTCATCAAGATTCTACATTTGCATATTCTTCCATTCTTATGGCCAATGCTTCATCTACAGATGCCTCTCACTTTCAGGAGAAAAAAGCCAAGATAAAGTATGCTATATAGAGACAGACGAGCCGGCGGCTGCTTCTCTCCACCGCATGACACACATAATGTGTTACTGCAGCCACAATAAAACTTGATTAGGGGAAGAGACATTTGTTAGATCCGTCATATGAACAGGACCTGCGATCATGACTGATCCCGCACTGTCTCAGCCACAAGTCTCACTTTGTAGGCCGTCAAGGTTCCATATCAAGTGATCAAATGTAGAGAGACATTTGCCAACACTCCCACGAGACCTTTTTTACACGGGAAGACGGGAACCTACTGGTTGTTTTAGCGATGGGGGTCACATGGAGAGCCAAGAATCAAGGTTGGCGGCGTTCCCATTTACGGCGTAGTAGTAGTAATTTAAGAAACTTCGATTGCTCCTTTAAACTTCCGCCACCAGCAATCTGGATCGAAGAGGGCGATCTGACAGCCAACACCAAAGACCCATACGCGGGCCAACAGCACGGGATCTGTTCTAGATGGAATTACTTCTGAGACTTCACGGCTGGTACCGCTATTAGCAGGAGTAATTGCATCAAGCGTTCTTGCTCCCCCTGGGCTCTATGCAGGGTCTCCTCGGATTGTTCACATCCTTTGCCAGTTAAGACATGCAAAAGAGGCTGCCGTTAACTGGACCCCCCTAAAACGACGAAAAATGTATGGCATGAATTGGGACATTCCCTCTCTCTGGGGGCAAAGAATATGTGGTAACAAGTGTACTTGCGTACGATAATCAAACATCTTTCATAATGACAAATACCTACTTTGAGCCGTGTGCTTGTACAGCAGGAGATTCACTTTGTTCATTTCAGGCGCCAGATGAAAGATGCCATCTCCTTGGACTGCCAACTATTCCACAAAGCAAAACGCCTTATTACAGCACGCAGATCGCTCATTTCCATCCACGTACTAACAAATCCGAATATTCTTGTGTTCCATGAGGCGCGGTGAGGCGGCGCCACCGAGAGAAGCAAAGGGCGCCTCGAGGCTTGTGGGCCATGGCGTACCAGGATCTCCGGCTCTTTCCTTTTCCTCGGACCGGGGAGCTGTTTATGTTTGATATCGTCACACTCTCCGAGGTATGTGTGTGTGCGCCACGCCACGTCGCACCAACGTGCAATATTGTCCAAATTTCGGTTCCATAGTCTGTGCCTGCATGGCAGGGGCACTTGCGATGATGATAGGACACCGTCAACCACAGGGAGCACTCGCTAGAGCAAGTGGCTGGCTGGGTGGCAAAGGGGGAGGGGAAAAAAAAAAAGCAACCCTTGTTCTGCGTGTAACGCACAACGCAGCTGAGAGGGGTGGAAATGACGTCCCTGCTTTTGGGGATAGCAAACACTTGCCAGCAAGTGTCCCAAGCTCTTGGCTCATCCAAGTGGCACGAACCCTTCAAACTAGCTCTTTAGATTTATCGGAGCCGGTCGATCGTTCATCTGACGGTGGCCTAGGCCTGGGGCATGAGCCAACGTGGCTGGTTTAAGTTTTCTCTGCCTTATACATCGAGGCGCTTGGTGCAGAGTTGAAAAAAGGATCCGCATCGTGGGTCCTCCTCCCTTGGCCAACGGGCTTCATTTGGAGAACTATCATGCTTGTTCATTGTAGCGGTTTTTTGAACAAACCACCACTAAATCAATATGTCAGCAAGCTCGTTGCTGGAAAGCCCTTTATTTCATGACAAGTATACAAGGCAGACCTAGGCAGTCTCTTGCCACACCGTTGTTCCATGTGTTTTTGCGTGGGAATGCCACATGTAAGACGTTGCCTGCCGTTTGAGAAGTCAAATGCATTACAGACGGTGGGTATCGGCTAAACGTGCGATCATGCACTCCCTTGAGACACCCAACCAGTTCCGACCATGCTGCTGATTCCTATCGCGGAATACCAGAGAATTGGCACCCAACATGGCCCGCCCTCAAATGTCTCGAGCTGTGCTCATGCATACGGCGTGTTGCACGAAAGCTTACCGCGGCCAATGAGAACAGAGCTGAGCGTGTTGATTCAGCCGCAAACCAGGTAGCGCTGGCTCTTTTGTCAAGCGGCTCATGTTTTGTAATTACCAGTACCATGCCGTGATATCTGGACAAGTAGCTGGTTTGTCGCTATGCCTGTATGTTGTATGGCTGCTAAATATCCGCGGAGTTATTTAGGGCTGCCTTGGTCGGAAGTATAGCGTTACATAGTATCGAGAGATGCACGCATGGGTCCCTGTATAACTTGCTATACTCAGTATCATTGCCAAGTTTCGGGACCACATGTATAGTAGCAGCGAAACCGCTCTGGACTTTGCAGCACGAGGCAACGATGCAATGTCACCTTGGACTCCCTGGAAGAAGGAGAAAAATTGAGCCAGACAACGTGGCGCTGCAGGATGTGATGTTGATAAGCTACAGGGCCTGTTGCGTCCCGTTCTGCCCGGATAGTGGCATGAGGATGGTGCGGGAGCAGTTGACGACTCTTACTTGCATCTGCATTAGCATCTACTTGTAGGATGCAAGCTAAGCCGATGCTGACGACGTTTTGAAACTTCGATTCGGTCTCTACATCCTCTTTAGCCTTATTGCCAAGCGTGAACTCTGTGGCAAAACTCGCGGCGACGTTTGAAGTGCGTTTGGTTGAGGTGGTTTAGAGCTCCCCTGCCCTCATAACCCTGTGCATCAAGATATCAGGCTCCATAGTAGCAGTGCTAGCAGCGGTATAAAAACACAGCTCTCCACAATTGCGTTTTCCTATCGTCGAAACACAGACAAGCGGGCACGAGGCAAAACATGGGATGAACACAATGGCAAGGTCTTGGATCTGCTGGGAGCCACTTTGGCCAGTGGGCTTCCGTGCTCGGCAAATGGCCGAGGGTTAGGCACGATCAGAGAATGGCACCCGCAGCTCAGAGCTAATACGAGTGTTACCCATACTGGGCACTTGTAGAGTCGAGAGGCAAGGTAGAGAGAGAGGCATGCTATGTACAAGCAGCCATATAACAGCGCATGGATGGACGGGCCACCCCTTTGTTAGTGCGCAGGAGCATCGGGGTTGCTTTTGCGGTCAGAGTGCAGCGCTCCCGCATGCCAACCATCGATCTTCTAGTTTCCCAATCTGGCCGAGAAATTCATGCAACAAGAGCACCAATATGCTCCATAAATCTCGCATTCGTCAAGTACTGCTACGTACTTGTCCGGAGATCTGAGTACATGAGATCGTTATGGGAGGTACTTTGCATGCAGGTCTTTCAAGAGGCGACTTTTGCGAAAAAGTTCCAGATTGCGGAGCTTATGGGTTGGAGGGTAGCCCATTGCGCAGTGGACATCAAGTCGTTAGCTCTGATCGAGCCAATCGATATTCAACAGAATGTCTGCCCCAGGGAGTTGACAGGTAAACCAAGTTTGCAACAAGGAAGCCGTCTCGCTGCTCTGTTATTCTCCATGATAACGTTAGCCTTGCCAGGACATATACAGATTCCTCGCAACGAGTACTCGGCCACATCTCGTTTCAGATGCCTCCTGCATAAGATCCCACGTGGAATTCAATCGCTGCTGCCGGCATTTTGGACGACGGCAAGGCGCACAGAGGCTCGTCAAAGTGAAGGGTGCTCACCGATTTTTCAAATCGGTTGGTAATACAGGTAATCCATGAAACGTAATTATACAAGTATGCATACTCTTCTCATCCTCAACAAGTTAGTGTTTGTGCCCCTCACCTTTGCCAACAGCAAGAGCCATTGGGTGACCAGCTGCGATGCATGCCCATTGAGTGTAGACATCGGGTTAGGTCGTGTACAGTACATGTAGTACTAGGTAGTATTGGCGAGTTTGATTTGCAATTGGAACCAAAGGAGAAGACGACATACATGTATTCTGTTGGCAGTAAAGAGCTCGTGCCAACCCGGTAGTTGTGGCTATCATCAACTCTGGTCCAACATTAGCCTTCGACAGGCTACTAGACCACTGCCTGCCCAGATTTGTTAGCCATGTCCAAGTCACTTATTTCTCAGGATGGTTGTTGGAGACCACGCAGGTATGGGCCACAGCTGCCGCTCATCAATAGCCAGTCGGTTTGGAGGGACTGCTTTTGCCCGCGCACATCGTATCCAAGTGCGATCCTTGTCTCAGTAAGGGGTGGTGGGCTGTGGATGAATACCACGTGGGGAGCTTCCAATAACTTCTGCATCTGGGTTGAAGAGGCAGATGCCATCTCCATACGGGCATCGGTATGTTCGCCACATTGCCGTTGTACAAGCCATCCGAAAACCATACGGTGAAATCTTGTCAGACCAGGTTTAAGCTGTTTGTGTGTGATTGCGTCCTCTGCACGGGCAAAAAGTCTGTGGGTTAGGCGTATTCGCCGACACGTAAACCACCTCAACTCAATGGCTCGTTGGAATGACCTGCAGGGAGTAGCACCTGGTCCAGTAAAGCAGATGTTTGATAATAAGCCGTCCTTTTCTCTTAATTGGAGAGGCGTCGGATATGCCCTCCTGCCCTCATAGCCGTGTCGATAGAGAATCGCCATTGTTGCAGGCTGTGAGGCACGATACTGGTAATAGGTACTACAAGTACGGAGTACCTATCTAATAGGCGGTAGAGGTGTAGGATGAATCGGCAGAAACGCCAACAACTCGCAAGGATACCCTTCTAACATACTTTACACTCTCTACTAGGTGGGACTGTGCTTGATGAGCTATCGAGTGGACCTTGGGAGTTGAGCAAAAAGTAACTGTATCGCACGGACCATGAACAGGTGGAAGACTCAACGCAAAAGGAGAATGAGACGGCAGGGCATATGTGGCCTTGCTTAACCTCAAGCTATACACTCCTCTTGAACCACGCAGGCCCTGTTTTCAATAAGAGGGTGCTCGGGACAAGCTTTTGCTCTGCCTTTGGTCCATTTCGGCCATCTTGTTCATCACGACGGTCGAGGTGCTCAGTATGCTTCTTTCCGGATTTTTCCCACTCCTTGCGAGTCCGCTTCTGATGGTAAGGCAGGGCTGGGTTGTGTTGAAAGCCACGGTTCGACCGATGCTTAAACGACACTGACACCGGCTGAGCCGAACGACGATAGTGCGGTGCCTGAGTAAGTCGTGCAGGGCCTGCTAGACTGCCGAGCCACGAGGTTTTTGACTCTTGTTGGCATGGTGTGGCACACAGCTCCATAGACATTAAGCTTCTGCCACCCCATAAGCGCCGCTATGCGGTACTGTGGACGAATGGCCGAGAGGCGCGCCGTTTCATCACTTGAAGACCGCATGCATTCCCCTTCCGTTTTTCTGGTACGGAGCGTTGTTACTAGCACCACCCAGAGGGGGCGACGTAAGCGTCTAAGAACATTCCAGCGAGCCTCTGGTTCTTCTGGCGCACCATGGCACTGTAAGCCATTGAAACGAACCCATCACGCTACATCCCTTATTGTGCTGCCTTGTTTCCTCCATCTTGATGACTTGCATCGTCTGGGCTTATGTTTCAATGCGTAAATACGAACTTGTGCTAGTTGCAAGTATGCGCGATGCACCAGTATGCAGATACCACTTGTGGCCAATGTGTCAGCAATGAAGCGGCTTGTGCTCCGTCGAGTTGAGGTGATATTTGACGATCCTGTGGCACGTTGAAGCTGGCGTCGATAAACCACCGAGATTCCCCATTTTGCCTGTTGGTCAGCGTAACTATCCCCCAAAGTTTGCTATCTCCGGCCCCGACGTAATATGGCCGATATCCTTCACGCCCAATGAGAGCGGCGGCCGAACGAGTCTCACGTGGCGGCGGAAGATCGCGCATATGCACCCTGCGGTGGACCTGTGGGCACACCAAGTCAATCCCATCCACAGCGGCACGAGGAGCCCTGGCTCGGTTGCCCCAAGGGCTGTCATCCAGGCAATCTACTAGTCAATCAACCCGGCGGGTTTTCCACCCCTTCTCGTCCAAGTCTGGTTGGGTCGCTGAGAGCGCAACCAAACTATGGGCTGTCAAAGATGGCGTTTGAATGGTTGAATCGACCGTCACAACGGACATTGCAGGGTACCTTGTGGTCTTGCATAGCATGTAGGTACTTGTGTGAAGTCTGCGTAATCGCAAAGTACAGTACGGAGTAATACCAAGTAACTCCAGGCTGTATTGGGCAATCTGTGCCGTCATCAGGGTATCTGTAGGCACGTTCGTTGCAACTTTACCCAAAGATAGAACAGTTTTGTTTCTGGCCTCGGTGTCCATTCCGATTCTGCATTGTAGGGCTCACTCTGGCATACAAATTGGGTTTGCCACTGGGATTGGAATCACGTTCTCGCAGCTTGACGGACGGGTGAGGAACGTGTTTGCGCCCGCACAACGGTCTGGACGCCCAAGGGGCGTGTCGATAGTTGGTTTGGTATGCTCGGTAGCAGGCGACGAATTGCTATATTACGTCTTCTGTCGTTCGCTTCCTATACTTGTACCCCTATCCGGCTTGTACATGAAGGAAATCAATAGCAGATCCTTGGAAGATAGGTACCTAGTTAGACTATTAGTAAATGTGCTCCCGCTAGCTGTTTTCCATGTGATGAAGCTAGAATAGCAAGGCTTGATTGGTACCAAATGCCGGTGGCATACATACTTGCTATCCTCTCTCTGTTTCCATGGGCTCGAGATATGGAGGGAGCGGTGCTGTGCAGCGAAAAATCGAAAAGCGGATGGCAATCTCTCTACAGTATGCCCATTGTGCCTAGCTGATGGGGCCTTTGGAGCTGCCCTGCGATTTCTCTTCTCCCCGTACAGTAAGCATGGAGACGGAGGGAGATGGCCAGGAACTGAACGGAAGCAGCCTTGCCTCCTCTCCAAGCAGAAGTGCGCCCAAATACCCGCAGTGCTCAATGGGATGAGACAAGATGAAGTCGACCAAGTGGAAGAAAAAGAATAAAGACGCAGCTCAAAGGTGACTTGCCGTGCTGCACCTGCCAAATGGAAGACGCTGCAATTACAGGCATTGTGGGGAGCAGCTACCAGATTTTGCAAGGGTCAAATAGAGTACAGGGCGAAGTTGCTGTATCCACGCCTCAGGCAAACGCTGACACCACGCCATGTCTATCAGACTCCAAGACCCGTTGGCGTTGGCGAGCAAATGCGTATCTGGACACTGACACTTGCAAAGAACAATTGGCGCCTCTCCCGTGCGTGGCATCAAAGAGACTCTCGCCTGCTTCCAGCCTCTCTGGCATGCTGATATGTACCGTTGCTGTCTGATGTGCTCACTTCCACTCAGGCTTCGTCTCGATGATTCTGGCTTGGCTTGGCTCGGCTGCTAGCACGATTTAGCACGGAGGAGGGCAATTTTTTCTTTTTTTGGAGTGGAGCTGGCCCTTTTTGCCTTGCTCCAAGCGCAAGTGCCGTCCAGGGCGAAACGTGTCGCATATGTAACTTGCGGTTGCTACCTCCATCGGCGATTATAGCCAGACCCCCGTCCTCCCGATCCACGTCCCGTATTTGATCCTCGACGGAACTCGAGGCACTGGCATTAAACACGTGTTTTGCAGTTGGCGGTGGCAATCGAGGACGGAGCAGTTCCAGTTCCCCATACATGCCGCTCAGTTCTGGCTAGCCGCGAACAGGAGGCTCTGCCTTTGGCAAGAGACCACAAGACGTAAGAAACTGGGCGTTGCGTCGTCTTTGGGCAGCGACCTGGGCGGCAGTCAGTGCGACGCCGCCTGCAGAAGAACATCTCCAGCATCTCCTCGCACATGGCACACAGGCAGGTTCGTCCGCAGCCCGGGCCAATCGTCTTCACATGCACGGATTGCCTGTGCCTGTGCGAAACCCTCGTGCGCCGGAGATGCATCGAGCCTAGCGCTGCCATCCATCGACACGGACGGAGGAGCACATTCTACAGGTATCGGGGAACTTAGCCCTACGGCCTGACATGGGACGGATGTCGAATCTGGAGTGTGGTAGAGCCTGCGGGTGGAACTCGAGGATCATGTCGAAGCCACTGACCGCCATGCTGCCGTTTCGATGCCCGTCTAGCCAGTACAGAGACGCCGTGGCGGTGACAGAGGGCTGCCAGGGAGATGCGAGGCTTTCAGCTCGTGGCTCAATAGGGTCTAATAGCATTGTGGGCGCCATCTTGCGCGCCGCCACTTGCATTATGGTTCATGCCACAGTCTGGCCACAAACTGCCCCTTTGCTAGACGTACGGGTATTGGATTGCTAAAAGGCACAGCGATCTTGGCCTGGACCCCTCGCCACAACGAGGCGCCTTGCAGCGACCCATCATGGTCCTCCAGTCCAGCCACGGGCAGGCTCTGCTTGAAAGGCGAATCCTCCCGCAAGCAGCCTTCCCGGAAGTACCGCGAGCTGGCAAAGGGCCTCGAGGGCTTGCCGTTGCAACAGAAGACGCCCCCTCCTGTGCTCACAATCAGCTGCTGTGCCTGCTGCCGGGTCTGCTTTGGTGGCACTGAGCGCAACGGCAAGCTCCCAGTGGTGCTCCAAAGAGTATACACATCCGTGTCAGCCTCCAGGGAGAACAAGGAAGGCCCTTCGAGCATGTCTACCTACTTGTAAGCACAGGCACAAGCACAGGCACGAATCTCTACCACACGTACCTAGGGTGGTAGGCAAGTAGGGTACCACTCTGGGGGGCAGGGATGCAGTACCTAGAGGGCGTGTGTATAAAATCGCTGCCGCTACTCGAGCTAAGGTAGAACGACTACACTCGAACTTGTACTCTTCAGGTATGGATGGCTTCCGTGCGCACGAGTTGCTGCTTGTAGTTGCAGCTGCTAGTCCCTGGTTGCCTGCATTTGTTTGCATTGACTTCCACTCTCAGTCTGGAGTAGCATGAGCGAGCGAGTCGAGTGGCCGACTCCATACTTGCCTGCGGTACCTACATGGTAATTCCACGGCGCGCCATGCCTTTGATTTTGGCCTCCCCAAGAACCAGCTGGCGCATCCCATCTGCGGCCTGTGGTCTGTGTGTCTTTGTGGCTCCCCCTCCTCCCAATATTTTTCGGTGGTATTAGCCTCAAGCCTGTTTTCTGTGGTGGTGGCAGCAGCCGCGGCCACCTCTCTCGACTTGTGTAACGGCACAGTGGACGCCAAGGTAGCAGCCCCAGTGCTGTGGGCAGAGCATCAGTGCTGGATGGGCCTTGATCTCTGTGAGATGCAGACCATGGCTGCCGCTGGTACTTGTAGTTGAAGTTGTATGTAGTTTTGTAGCACCACGAATATCATTGGATCATTGGATATCATCCTGGCAGGCGGTACAGGCAGGCCAAGTACTGCTACCCCGGGCAGACTTGGGGCCAAGACACGCGTGTACGCTGCACCTCCTGCTACTGGCAGTAGCACCGCAAGTAGCTGCAGGCCTGTCCTGTCCTGGTCTGCTTGCTCCGTTGTTGCACGCTCTCGTACAAGGTACCCGCTGTGGATGTCCCCTGGATCCCAGCCAAGGTCTTGCTGGACCCAGTCTCCAATTCCCTCCCCCGTTCCCCCCCGTGCTGCGACTGTGTGGATGCAAAAGTATCTCGTTGCTGATTGCAATGCGCTCGTGGCTGTTCTACCAACATACTTGTATATCCTGCAAGTGGCTCTGAGGAACAAAAGGTACCTTCGAGGCTGGCTCCTCTCCTGTCAGTGGCACTCTTGCAGGTACAGGTACTTTCCACGCCCTGAGCCCTGCGAGTTGGTACCAGAGCTCCTCTAGCCTTGCCCCTACACTGGCTGAGCGCCTCGCCTACACTATCCGCCTTTCGTTCGATCCCCAAAATTCTAGTTCCAAATCTCACATCCCAACTTTATCCTCTCTTCACTTTTCTCCTCGTCTTCCTCTCTCCCACCAGCATTCAAGCCGAGCTTTTTTACTTTATACCCTTTAGAACGTCTACTGCACCGCTCTATTCCTTTTCTTGCTATTCAGTACACTTCTTTATGATTAGCGACGGCTGCTTCTAGCCCCCTTCGAGTTCGGATTTGCTGAGTGTGCTGCTCGCGCCTCTTCCTGAGCGAGAGGTTCGCTTCGCGCTCGCTTGCCCAAAGAACCCGCACTTCGCCAATTCTCTACCCGTGTTTGTCTATCACCGTGAGGAACCAAACATTGGTCTTCTCATCGACTCGATCGTACGCCACAGCATCAGCTGTGACCACATCGCGGAGTCACCCACTCAAACCGGCGCAGCCACTCTGCCTTTTGCCCTGGACCTCGTTCCCGAGTTGCTGGCGATATTCACGCTTCCTCCCTTGCACTCCCGACTTCGCGATAGTCTCCATCGCATTGTATGGCTAGGATGGAAGCGCAGGCACCGCAGCGAACGCTGCCCTCCAAGTCGGCTGGCCTCACCAACATTCTTAACAGAGACGATCGAGCACCTGCCCATACCGCGGCCGCTCCTCAGCTTCGCGATTCTGGATTTTACTCGACCCACGACAACTCTAGCAAGCGTAAGTCTGCTTGTTTGAAATTTCAAAATGCTTCCCTCCTTTGTTTTGCTCACAATTTGCTGAATAGATACCTCAGCAGCATCCTTCACGGTTCCTGGACTCAGCCCTGCCGGATCTGGCTATTCTTCAGTTGACAAGACGCCTTCCCCTGTAGCCACCAATATGCTGCCCCAATCGGTTGTTTCCCCCTCTGCTAGTAACATGAGCGTGGCCTCGATGGTGTCTCCTAGCAATGTTCCCATTATTCACAACGGCACCGACCAGCGAAGATTCGACCGACCAACCTCGCTAGACACAGTCAATGTTTCAGGCCCAATGCTGGGAGAGGGACTCTCTAATAATATGGCAAGCCGACGTGAAAGCGTGGACAGCAGAATCAACCAGGGTATTAGTGATATGCGCCTGGGAGGTTCTCCGTACACTAGCAACAATCAATCTTCGTCGTCGATCCAAAACACACTCCATGCGCAGCGGAACCCCAGGCCCGGTCTGGAGGCTCTTGCCCACCATCGAATTTCAAATGGCTACCAGCCTAGTGCTGAGCGAAACCCAGAGACAAAGGTGATTAGGACTGCCCCTACAATTACTGGACCAACGACTGGCCATATCGCCCGTGCTGCCGAGCCGACTAAGGGTCAGGCGTGGGCTTTCCCGGAGGACGATGTTAGAGCCAATAACCAATCTTCATACGATGTATCGCGCCGCAGTAGCATTACGGAGTCCATTGCGAGCAGCCAGTTCACCACTGAGTCTAGGCTGCCGCCGGGCCAGCGCAGACTTGAAGATGGGGCTGAGTTTTCCCGCATGAACTCATCCGAGTTCCCGCCTGTGCACCACCATAGCATGCAGCACAAGCAGCTTGCCGATCTTCAAGCTGAGGAGAGTAACGGAGCCACGGGATCACAGCCCTATAGCCGAACCCCTGAGCTCAGAGTAAGCCACAAACTGGCTGAACGCAAGCGAAGAACTGAGATGAAGGAGCTGTTTGATCAGCTACGCGATTTGATGCCGCAGGAGCGTGGCTCAAAGGCTTCGAAGTGGGAAATTCTCACAAAAGGTGAACATTTATCCTCCCCTGCCACCCCCTTCTTTTTGTGTAGACCCTTCTCTCTTATGAATATTGCCCAAACTAACAGGCTACTAGCCATTGCGGAGCATCAAAGACATATTGATCACGTTCGGGTACTTCAATCTCACTACAACACGGCCATGACCGAGAACGATATGCTCCGGCGAGAGATATCAGGACTGCGAATGGAGAACTCCCAGCTTGTTGGAGAGCTGAATCGCCAGTCAGCGCCGCCTCCTGCGTCCATTAGCCAGCCTAGTTACTCGTCCGATCACTATGCAAGTGCTCCCCGGACTGAGCTGCCACCTCTCCGGTCTCTTAACAACGGCATCCAGAATGGCCCTGACTCCATGACGGGAGTGCAGTATGAGGCGCCACGATCTAATGGTTACGGACCAGCTCGTTACTAGCAAAGACGTTATTGACCGACCCTGCGGATTGCGTCATTGTCACGAGGATCTATGCTTTCTATGCCTTTCACCGTGCTCGCATGATTGAATGAACATGTGCAGACAAGACACGCGATATGAACCGTATAGCCACTCTGCGACTAGACGAATGCCCGGATGCCAGACGAAGAAAAACAAAAAAAAGACAAAAAAAAACACCAAAAAAATTACATCCTCTGCCGATCGGCGTTCGAAGCCTTGGCTTTAATCTGTGTTATTAGAACTTTGATTTTCTTTTCGATTCTTTCTCTGGTTGTTTATGCCTTCTAGATTATGATCTTGGAGGCGGTTGTATAATTGCGACAGAGACCGGCAGCTTTTTTCAAAAGCAGCCATACTGGCCGCTTTATCTTTGGCCTGACACTTTGTTTATCTCCTTTCTTATTTTCTCCCGTCTCTTTCTTTTTCTTTTCTTTCCTTTTCTTTTCTTCTCTTTTCTTCTCTTCTCTTCTCTTTTCGGTTATTTTCGGTTATTTTTTCTGTCTTCTTTCTCCTTCTCTTTTCTTTCTTCTCTCTTTCTTTTCAACTTTTTGTCATAAGAACCACTGGAAATTGTGTGGTTTTCGTACCAGATTCGAACTGGTCAGGGAGGCGTTTAATTTGTCTTTCGAGTTTCGCCACAATTTATGGCAGTGGATAATCAAAAGCTAATCTCAGCCGGGCTGCCAAGAACTGGTGGAAGGGGAGGAAAGGGGAAACTGGAGAGGCATGCTCAGGGATTTTCTATAAAAGGGAGAGATAGGCTTTGATTCTTAAAGACGCGAGGGCCATGATAGTGGTATATACCCATTTGCTAAGAAAGCTTGGGAGGGAATTGGGAGGCATGCCATTCGATGGCAACCTGGTATTTTGCGTTTCCGGTGGCATATACGAGAGCAACACCTTTGCGTGTTGCTGGTTAGGTCACTGTATGTCGGTTTTCTGTATGAGATGATTCTAAACCTGTTTATTCGTTCGATATTTGACGTGATGTAATGTAATGGGCCATGGTGACTGATGCTGACTGATGGTGAGATTTGGCAAAGTGCGGGCGTGGTTTTCGCTAATGGCTGTATGGTGATTCATCAGTTGCAGATATACCAGACCCTTTGACTCGTAAATGGAAAGAACTGTGTCCTAGCAAAATTAGCCTCTCTCCAATTTGTCAAAATCCGCAAGACGCGTCACTCGATAAATAATAGGATGATGCAGATGCTAAAGAGAGATTGCATAGAGCAAAAGTGTGGGGTGAGTTGGTCATTGTTGCATTGCAGCTAAAAAACGTCGACGCTAATACTGACTCTGTACCTGTAGGCTGTGAGACACGCAGCACATGGCTTCCACGACTTTGCAAAGGAAACTAATGGTTCTTGGCTCCTTTCTTTCTTTCTTCCTTTCTAGCCGTCCTTGGTAAAATGCCGTCAGCAAAGGGAAGAAAGAAAGAAAGAGTTTCGGATTGCGGCCCGTCTCCTGCCACGCCCTTCTAAGCCTCCTCCGGAATCAAATATACAAATTGAGGCTTGGATTGTAAGAAAAGGCGGCGGACTTGCGGAGCTGGCTTTTGGCGGAGTTGCGGACTTGGGCGTTGTATCTCGGGTGCGGATTCAGCTTCAGTTACCGGGGAATTTGCGTTTTGACACACGCCGGACCCTGGTTTCCTTTTTTAGTTTTGCTTTTTTGTCTTTGTAAGTAGCATGATGGCATAGAGTTTCTCTCTTTGGGAGTTCAATTGGATTGGAAGGTTTTCTCTTTCACTTTCCTCTTCTTTTTTTCTTGTTCCTCTAGGATCTACCAAGTTTTTTTGGGATTATTTTTCTCTCTATTTTCCTCCATCTTGCAGCTAATACCAACTAAAAGGCTACCGCTGCCGAATGAGCGCGGCGCAGTATTAGAGTTTCCGCGACTACGGCGTCCTCTTAGATCTTATCGTCCCGCCGGCGATAATCCGTTCCCTAACTCCTTCCCATCATTCTGTTTCTTGAACCAGCTACCTACTCACTCACCCAAACTTTCTTTCATTATTCTCATCCATCTCTCATATTCTTCATTCACATCTTTTTCATCATCCAGTGCTTTTTATTCTGCACAATTGGTCTCTTTGTCGCTTGCTGGCGTAGCGCGGAGATTTGGTAGTGCCGTCCATGGTCTCGCTTGATAGGCCTCAGCAGCAACAGCAACAGCAACAGCATATCCGCAGCTCCTCCTTCACCTCCCCTCCTTGGCCAATGGATTCTTTCACTGGCGGCACGGACAGCAACTCGCTGAGCAGCATCGGCTCGGGGCTGCGCAAGATGGACCGCATCAACGCCGACGGCGGCTCTGCGGCCTCGCGCCAGAAGAGCTGCAATGCCTGCGTCCGCGGCAAGAGACGCTGCGATAAGCGCACGCCGCGATGCACTCGATGCGCGGCCAAGGGACTCGATTGCGTCTATCAGCGCCAGCCACAGCAGCAACCACAGCAATCACAGCAACAGCATCCGCAGCAACTCCAGCATCAGCATCAGCAACAGTCTCCAGCCGGGGCCTCCGCCGCCACAACGATCCCCTCATGTGCCTCAGTATCAACCGTCGAGGGCAGCTGCGCCACGCCAGAGATGCCTCCCGAATTCGACATGAGCTTTGATATCGAGAGCCTCAGCACCACAACCGGCACCAACACCAGCCCGGAGAGCCTCCAGCAGGACGCCGGGATGGGTCTCGGCTGCGATCCTCATTCACATCACCCTCACGCAGACCTGGGCTTCTCCATTGTCGACCTGATGAACGGGACCGGCACAGGCGACGGCGGCTTGTGGGATCTGAGCGGCTTTGGAGACAGTGATAAGATGGACCTCCCCCCCGTTCCCATCGCGCCGTCACTACAGACAGAACAGCCGCAATCGTCACAGTCGCAACACTTGCAACCACCACAGCCTATTCGTGATCTTTCTATCCTCCAGAACGAGGACCAGTGCATTACAGCCGACGTCTGCCAGGTTCACGACCCCCGCAGCAAGATTGGCTTCATCGTCAAGGCCATTTCCGACATGTACAGAGACTTTGCTCAGCGTCGTGAGGCGCCCTTCTTGCACCCTCGCCTCTGGTCCTCACAGCTGCCCAAGACAATCTTGACGGCATTTTCCGCTGCCACGGCATACTCTTCTCAGACCCCACAGACCAAGGGGTGGACGCTAAAGGTGTTGCTGGATGCCGTGCGCGAAGTCCATCGTGACGGCGAGAGAGCGACGACGCACGCGGATCGGTTGGCGAGAGTGCAGGCGCTCTTGGTGCTGAACTCGATGCGCATCTTTGATGGTGATTTGGGCATGAGGGCGGCGGCGGAGAGAGAGATGAGCGTATTTTTGTCGTGGGTGAAGGACTTGATAGCAGTCAAGAATGAGCTGGAAGAAGGCTTGCCAGCATCAGCGCATATGTTGAGAGACAAGCCGCCAAAGAGCTGGGATGTGAGTTTAGCATCACTGAAAACCGACCATGTCGTTCTCTTGGCCCATATACTGACTTTTCTTGTCTCATCTCTAGAGCTGGATCATGGTAGAATGCACAAGGCGGACCATCATGATTTCCTTTGCCATAATGTGTCTTGTCTTCGTCCTCAAGTCAGAAGAAGGTTCGTATTCCCATTATATTTTGCGTGTAAGCCAGGAAGTTGACGAGTATGGTTTAATAACAGCCCCTCCAGAGTTCTGGGAAGACGGCCACAGCTTCACGGCCTCACGGCATCTCTGGGAGGCCACCTCCTCGGTGGATTTTTTCCGCGCGTGGCGCGAGAAGCCGCAGTACTGCGTTACGGACATGAGCTTCAAGGAGTTTTGGATGTATGCTCGGCCGGATGACATGGATGAGTTTACGAGGCTGATGCTGACGACGTGAGTTGCCCTGAAACTTGATCTGCTAAATGCTCCTCTCCGTTTCTTTCTTGATTGAAATTTGGCATCGGCTTTTAAAAGGTTTCTAGAGGCTAACAATTTCTTGCAGGCAAGTTGGCATTGATGCCGTCGAGCACTTCATGGCAGGCGAAACAAATATACCGGTACCGCCATGAACAGGAACACGGTGACATTGCATGAGAATCTCAACTGAGAAGCAAAGTGCTCATCATATAATGATCATCTCCCATCTATTAAGAATTCAACACATACGGAAAGAAACAAGGAGAACGCTCCGAGAGCCTAATCGGACAGCAGACAGCAAATACACAGAGTTGTAGTGAGGGTTATATTTTTTTTGGAGACTTTAATGGCACCTGGCGTTGGGAAACAAGCTTGACTTGATCAACTGTACTTTTTCTCTTTTTACATTATTTTATCAGGCGGGATTGACGGCGGTGCGTTGAACTGGGCACCAGGCAATATATCTGGGAAGGCTCTTTATTTGGGTATATTCAAGGATTCATAAAATCGCGGCGCTGGACTACGCTGGGGTTTTTCTATTCACAGGGAGGATGGGAATGGACTATTTACGGTTGTGGGATTCGGGCAAGCATTCGGGCATTCTATCTTGGTTACATTACAGATACAGCTACTACGTTTATGGGCACTTGAGATCATGACAGATGCTCAGAAGGATGGATTGGATAGCCAGGTATATTTACATGCGGCATTTCCTACCAATTCCAAGGTTATTGCATGTGAAACCAAGCAGGTCAAGCGCCTCACGTTCATTCACACTGCTTTTCTCATTTCAAAGAGAGAATCAAGTAAGAAGAGAATAAACAATAGCCATGGCGCTCACCAACTAAAACTTTCAAAGACATACATAAAGAGTAAAATAATAACATAAACCCAAGCGATCCATCAGAGACAAGAACAAAACGCCGAGACCCTTTTTTCAGATTTCATTTCCATCATGATAATTTTCTTTGTCCAGATACAGCGCTGCAATGCAATGCAACGGTATTTGCCCCATCGAGCCAATGGACAGACAGGCAGATATTACCAGCCAGCCACAAGACGCACAAGTATCCATCTAAATCTTGCCTGGCCTCATCATGGGTTCGCCTATCATGCCGCCCAATGGAGCATGGTTAAGCGTCTCTTTGCCGTCCTTGGCATCTTGTCGCGCAGTGGGTGGGTTGCCCATGTCGTGCACCATGTCGCGAGCCTTTTGGCGCAGGCCCCTCTTGGCTTTTCTCTCGTGGATGTCGAGGAGCGGCTGGCCTTCCTTGGTATAAGAGTAAGTGGTGTAGGCGGTGGAGGCGGTTGAGGCCGAGGAGAGGGAGGACGTCTCGGAGCTGGTGGAGGGACGCCGTAAGGCAGAGGTAGTATTGGCGGGAGCGTCAGACATGTTGTATATGAGGGGAGTGTCTGTCTATGCGTATGAGCGAGAGGAAGGGCAATATATCCCAGCGCTGGGATGCGTAGTATTTCTTCAAGGATCTAAAGAGGCTGTAGCGAAAGCCCAATTGACGCAAGGTTGCAGCTTGATGATGCGACTCGGAACGAGAGCGCCGGTCGGTGAGCCACCGTCTCTTGACCGAACAGGCACAGCGGACGGAATAGTGCCGCGGAGTGTGTCAATATCGAGAAAAGGATAAGAGGCAGCTGCTGTATGGCCACTTGTGCGGCGCTAGACGGGGGACCTTTTGTAAATAATATTCCCCAGACAACTAAGCAAAATGGAAAAAGCCCAGGAAGCGCCGGGAAAAAAAAGAATGAATGTTTTTCAAGCCCGGCTGTGGCAGTTGGATTGAAACTGGCAATTGGAGAGAAGAGAAGGAGAGGGAAACGTGAGGGGGTGGCGCGCCCAGGCTCTTCTTATTGCGCTGAGATGCCCAACTGGCCTGCTAACGACTAATAGCAGGCTAGAGGGCGAGAGATACAGATAATACTCGGAGCACTTTGTACTGTAGGCTCAGCTCGCGGTTGATGGTGTGGTCACTGTGGTCACTGTGGTCGCCAATCCTAGTCTGGGCCGGGGCTGTTTTGGGCATGGCCTCAGCTGTTCCAAGCAGCCCGCAGGCGGCTTACCGGCCATCCCCACGCTTTTTCGCTTTTTCCCCTTCGTCTTCTCCATTCTCCGGTGCTTGCTTGTATGGGGTGCACACACGAGACACACTGCCGCTTCCTGCCATTGCCCTGCTGACCGTCCATCTGTCTGTGTTGGCTCTCTCTTGCACAGCAGCCGTATCTCGCCCGTGACGACTGGCGTATTCGCAACCTCGTTCAGGGCATTGGCTCTTCCGTCATCGTACAAGTACTAGTAGGTAGCACCCTGATCCTGATCTCGCCCGCCAGATGCGCCGCTGCACCTGCTGCCACCGCTGCCACCTGGAGGATCCGGCAGCTAAACAACATGAACCTGGCCTAACCCCCAGCCGTTGATAAACGCAACGGCGCCGTCCATTCAGGCGCCTCGAACATGAAGTGCTGCAGCGGATCCCTGCAGCTGGTGGGGGACCATTTCTCGTGCTGGCTGATAACAGATAGCGCCGGCGGGGCTGGGGACGAGACCGCGCTGTAGCGGACTTGGTGGCGTTTTGGCGGACAGGCGCCAGCGACTGGGCTTGTCTGGGTAAATAGGTAAGAGAATGGTCAGCGGTGCTCGCCTTGGCCTGAAGCCCAGGGACTGAGACGGGAGCGATGCCGTGCTGCTGCCGCTGCCATTGCTGTTGCTGTTGCTGGAGAGAAACGGACGATGGGAAAATGAATCAAGAAGAGAAAGGAGAAGAGAAAAGGGAAAAGGAGAGAAAAAGAACGAGTTTGGTGCGCGATTTAGAGGGCTGGGCTCGTCGAGAAGACAAGGCACGCTGATGCTTTGCCCTTTGCTATATTAACCGCCATGATGCTTCACTAGTAGATGCAAGAGATGACGCTATCTGGGACGAGACCGCATCCTCGCCCACGGCTTATCTCGACATGTTTTCTTTGCCGAATGCAAGTACATACGCATGGCTGATTTAGAGGCTACGCTGTTGAATACATTACAGAATTTCAATTACACCAGCTGAAACACTCAGCCAACAATCTTGACCCAGCTTTCCTCCCCGGTTTCCCATCTTTTCCCTCTTTAAACGCAAGCAAGCAAATGAATAAACACGTTGAATTTAAAATCCCCATTCCCTGCCGTTGAATAGTAGTGTACTGTCATGACAGATTATGACTCGTACTTGTACGCGGCTGTGAAACGCCAGAAACTCCAGTTATGCGCGCTTGACAATCTGCATTGATGCCCCTGCCCTGCTGGCTTGCCCAATGCATACATGTATTATCAAACCCCGATATTAGTTGTAGCTGCAGACTTTCAGCTTTGATCCAAACAAGACAAAAAAAAAAAAGAATCGCCTTCTTTTGTTACTACCAGTCTGCACATCTTACTGATGCGCGCCAGTAGTAAAGCGTTCGGAAATCTCTACGCGTGCCTGGCCCAGGTCGCGGAACTTGGCCACAAGCTTGTCCTCGTTGTCGAGCGCAACAATGTCGTCGGAGCCGCCAATGCTGACGCCATTGATCAAGATGTTTGGCACCGTTCTGCGGCCCGTCTTCTTCTGGAGGTAGTCTTGAAGATGGGGGCCGAGCGGGTGCTCGTCAATCTCGACGACAAACGGCTCGGGAGTGATGGCGTACTTTTCGAGGAGGATGCCCTTGGCACGCTTCGAGTACGGACAGTAGGTCTTTGAGAAGATGATGACTGAAACGGGCGCACGCATGCAAAGGTTAGCATAAGAGGTGGTTTATGCACAGAACGGCATTAGGATAGCTGCTTACCCGGTGATTTCTTCAGGATGCTGTTGATCTCGACTTCGGCTTCGTGCTCTTCCTTTGTCTCCTCCCTTGTCGTCTCGGGCTTGACTCTCTCCCCAATGTCACCGCCACCACCGCCACTACCGCTGCCAACCTTGACCTGGCCCTTCTTCGCCTGCCCCTCGGCCGAGCTTCCCACGCCGATAATCTTGCTGGGAAAGTCGGGCTTGGGGCTCTTCTCGTTGGCCTTGTCCTTTGCCTCTTGCGCAACGGCCTGCAGCCGCTCCTGGAGCTCTTGCGCCGCCACCTTGTCGTCGTTGTCAATGTCGCCGTCGCCGTCCTTGTCGGCAGGTATGTGGCCCGCCTTCTCTCCCGTCTTGGAGTTGATCACTGCCTGCCCTCGCGCCGCCCCTCGCTCCATGGCGTCTTTTGTTTTCTCGTAGAAGCCCTTGAGGCTGGCGTCGGCTTCGGGCTGCATGCCGGAGCTGTAGAAGAGGACGAAGACGACGGTGATGACCACCGCCACCATGAGGAGGCGCATCCGTCGTGGGGATGGCATCTTGTCGCAGTTTTTTGTTGTAAGTGATGGTGTGCGTGTGCGCGCGTCGGTAGTTGGAGAAGAAAGGACTGCGCTGCACAACAAGTTGGAGATTGCGAGCTTCTAGAGCAGCATTCAGAGATGTCGTCTGGTCGCAAGCGAGCTCGATAATCGGGGGAGGGTAGCTCGAAATAAGCTTCCTCGTATTAGGTACTGGCGAAGGCGAAAAAGAGAAGAAAGAGGAGGGAGGAAGATTGAGCCTAAATTGACACTCCAATGACCCTGAGATTCTCTTTTTTTTTTTTTTTCTTCTTTGCTACGTCAGAAGCTGTATCGTGACACAAAGCTTGGACTTTTGAGCAGTTGCAGAAGCTTCAAGGAAAGGAGAAACGCGTGACCTCAATCGAATTCTATTAAAACAGGACCCCGACCCATTCAATAGATTGGAGCGCAGCGCTGTGCCAAGTGCGATTGGGAGTAGGCGCCAGGCCGTGCGATGTTTTTGAATCGGCAACTGTCTCACGACTGCTGCGAGGAGGATTTCTAATGGGCTCGGGGGCTACGCATTGCCCGCGTTTCTTGGCTCTGGCGAAAATGTTTCCGGCGAAATTAGGTAACAAAGCACAGTATGAATAGCAAACTGCTTTAGGGAGGCTTGCACATGCGATTGATCAGATTGCAAACCAAGGAGCTCAAATAGTTCGTATTGAGGTTGATGTCTGTCCTTTTTTTTTTTCTTGTAAGAGAGAAAAAATATTAATTGCATGCCATGCCTGGGGAATTACAAAAAGAGTGATATGGTTTTCAAACCTGAACCAATAAATAATGAAGATTACACAAAACATTCAATAGGTATTCCCCAAGTCTTAGACACCTGAGCATCTAGAATGAGTCCGAGATTTCGTCATACAACGTATATAATCCCATATCGTCTTCCAGAAAGTTTTCTTCAGCAACATACGCATTTGTGTATGTTAAGCCTTCTTCTAGTCGACTGTTTGCCCAGCTGTTTGGGCTCTGCGCGTCGTTCGTCTTGGACCATCGGGGTAGGCGTAGGCTGGGAACTGGAATTCGAGAGTAGAGATAGCCGTGTCTCCGCAGGTAATGGCCTTCCATTGGCATAGCTTGTACGCCGAATATTGAGCAAGCCAAGAGGTAAAAGAATACCAAGATTAAAGACATCATTTTGGAAAGAAATTCTTTAACCGAGTTTTTTCTCTAACTAGGGGGGGAAAAAGAATGACTTTGTAATGCAGGGAGGGAGAGATATTGCAGTAAAGTGTAAGACGAGATATTCCCAAGATTCCCGAGTGAGGAGACTTGATTTATATCATCAACTGTAGCCACAAACCAGCCATCGCTGTGAATTTACGACGGAAACGACGAGACCACCAGCATCACAGCTTTCTCTGAATTCAGACTTTGGCAATGGTACACCGCAGGTGGTTGGAAAATGTGAGACACGAGGCCATTCCCAACCCCTTTGGACTATGTATGGGACAAGGCCTTGTTTCCGAAAACGTGACAGCATCCAAATGGACAATAAGCACACCGTGCTTCAATCATCGCATTTTTATTTTCCCCCAAGACTACACAATGAATAAAAGTTCATAGATGGCAATAACACGTAGAGAACCTACAAACTAAGTGAGTGGCAATAAGCCATTTTCTTCGAGTTTCTAGAGTAGGCTGCTGAGTCATGCGTTCATCCAATTGGATGCCGCCAAGATTCAGAAGCCAGATTTCGCCTCTGCGCAGTGACAGTTTTTGCTCGTTTCTTACAACTTTTGAGGTCCACCTAACCCAATCTTCTGAAGTGTCCTTTTCCAAGCGTTGACTCATTTATAGACTGCTTGTTCGTTTGTTTAATGAAATAGATTTGTAAACTGTTTTTTTCTCTTCTTCTTTTTTTCAAAACCACACTTTTTTTCTGCATACTTTTCGAGGCGTCTGGCGTCAACACAGCTACCAGTGTATAAGGGACAGGCTGCCATTGCAACTCATCATCAGCTTACCACGGCTTCATACACGACAAAGTGGAAAAGCTTTCCAGCAAATTTTCTCAGAGCTAGGTAACACTGCATATTCACACTTTCACAATATTGCCGGACATGCCTTCTATTCGGTCTAAACGCAAGTCATTACCAATCATCTTTGCATTGGTTCTGGGCATCTTACTTCTCATAGCGGCTCCAGTTGCGGCATCATCATCACAGCCTTCGCCCCAGGCAGGGTCAGGAAATTCGGATCTAATCTGCCACACTTCCAATCCCGAAGAGTGTTATCCTCGAGTCTTTCAACCGACAGATGAATTCCAAACAGTCCGTGATGACCAAGAACTACCGAGTGGACTCCATGTTCGCTTGAACATCTGGACAGGAGTCAAAGAGGCCAAGATCAACGTACCCGACGAAACGAATCCTGATCTGGAAGGCCTACCCATTGATCAGGCCGTGGTGCTTGTCGACCAGGAGCAGCCCGAGACAGTCCAAGTGCCCAAGGGAGCACCAAAATACGATGCTGTTGGCAAGGTGAAGGAGCCGGCTCAAGGAGAAGGGGCACAGGTGGAGGCTATTGCCTTTGCAGAGACGTTCAAAATGCTCAAAAGTGGCATTATTCCAAGTGACGAAGAGTTTGACCATGGTCTTGAAGGGCTAGAAGAACTATCCCACGACATCTACTACGGACTCAAAATCACCGAAGATGCAGACGTGGTAAAGGCACTGTTTTGCTTGATGGGATCTCGTGACGGCGAGACTCCCAAACAAGTCACTCCGCGAAGCCAACAAGCGGCTGCTATTCTCGCCGGTGCCCTTTCCAACAATCCTTCGGCGCTGAAAGAAGTGGCCAACATCTGGGAACCGCTCATGGAACAATCGTGCCCTCGCGATGGCACCCGCACCCACGACCTCTTCTACTACCCCATTGCCTCGGTTGGCGATTCCCCCGGAAAAGTCAAGGCTGTAGTTTCAGCCATCAACGGCCTCATCAAAGACGACAAGATCAGGAAGGATTTCCTCGCAAATGACGGCATGACGCAACTCCTGGGTGTCCTCGTTCCAGAAGGCGAGGAATGGGCAGGGGCACAGAGAAAAGTCGGGCAGCTGGTGCTGGATACCTTCTTGGACGAGGATATGGGCGCTCAGCTTGGCCAGTGGCCAAAGGGCCAGGCGTCGAGCAACGCAGTGTGTGAAACAGCAAAGACAGCCCTAGATGACGGGTGCTGGGATTACAACGTCGAGAGGATGGTCAAGTTAAACAGGGGACCTTGGAGCAAAGAGCTGCGAACGAGGCTGTCCACAGCGCGCAAATCGGCGGGCAAGGCGCCAAACCATGGCGAACTGTAGATTTCCACCTTGGTGTTGCATATATTAGACTTGTTAGTACATGTAGTTGTAAATAGAGATACCCTTGAATTTTCAATCATACGTGAAATGTCTTTTCCCCCTTCTGATATCAGATAAATAGAGAAACCTGGTTTTCTTTGAATTTCTTTGCATGTGAAAATGCGGTCCTATTGTTCGTTCTGACCTATTGCTATGCTGCGACCTCAAGCCATTTGCCCCTCCAAGTTCCAACCTCTGCAAACCCACCCAAAAATTACTAGGCTCGCCAGTCTACATCGAAAATCTATTCTCTTGCCAAACATCTCAAGATTCCTGTAACTGCCATAAAAAATCAAAGAGAAGAATTCAGAAACAAAATGTCTTCTTCTCCCTCTCCATCTTCGCCTCTCCAAATACGGCCACATCCCACCAAAGGCCGCGGCCTCTACGCAACCCAATCCTTCTCTCCCGGCCAAGTCATACTTCCCTTCACTCCTCTTCTCCTCCTCCCCACCGTCTCGTATCTCAACATTGTCTGCTCATACTGTCTCCGTCCGGGAAACCCTCGTGCCTGTTCGCGCTGCCACGCGGCCTCGTACTGCGACGCGACATGCCAAGCGGCGGCCTGGAAAGCAGTCCATTCGCGGGAGTGCAAGGTGTTGCGGCAGGGCATCAAAGATGAAGATCGGAGGAGGCGGCTGCCGACGCCGACAAGGGCGCTGATCCAGGCTGTGCTGCGGAAAGAGATTGGAGATGGATTGGAAGGCCTAGAGGGCCATGTCTTGGAGAAGAAGGCGGCAGAAGGCGATGAGTGGAAGGATATCGAAATCATGGCCATGGCGGCTTGTGCGTTTTCTGGCAAGGGCACAGCAGAGGAGGACATTCGGAAAGCAGCTGAGATGCTGTGCAAGGTAAAGTGATGAATGGCAAATGATTAAAAGGGAGAAGAATATCTGCTGACTTTTCATTTTCCATTTATTGCTAGATTCAAAACAATTCGTTTCAGAGATTTGACTCCGATTTGGGTGTTATTGGCTTGTTTCTCGAGCCCACGCTGGCCATGGCAAACCACTCCTGCATTCCCAATGCTGCAGTCCAGTTTATCGGACGGAACGCTCTCCTCATTGCCGAGAATCCCATTCGCGCCGGGGATGAGATGGAGTTGGCATATACCTGTACGGAAGATGCTCTACCCATGTCAATGTCTCTTCTTTCTCTTTCAACTACTAGGTATAAGCTAACCATTATGTGAATGCGCATTGCACAGTTTATACGGATCCTTTACCCAAACGAAAAGAAGCACTGGCTCACTACAAGTTTGTTTGCCAATGCCTTCGTTGTCGAGATAATCTCAATGTCTACCAAGTCGCAGCCGTCTCCCCCACCGTCAATCTCAACAGCCAGAGTCTCGTACCAGATGTCTCAAGATTCCGCCACCATCCTGCAACCAGCAACTACAGCAAACAGTCCATGATCAATCAATATGGCGAGTCAGCTGACTCCATTGTTAATGCTTTAGGAGACATCGAGTCGCCATCAGAGCGTCGTAAACTCCTCAAGAGCGAGTATAGAAAGCACAAGGGTCTGGTTGATGAGCAGCTCTGGGCCGTCATGCCACTACCAGACATCCTTTTTAGGATATCCATGCTATACGGCGAGGAAGAAAGTTTTGCTCTCGCTCTGCCGGTAGCGTGCCTCATTGCCACGGCTTGCGATCCGTACCAGTATACCTCGCCTTTCCATCCAATTCGACTGTCTGGCCTTTTCACCATGGCAAATTTCCTCACGCATACCGCTGCAACAACGGCTTTCTTGGAGAAGTCAAATACACCAGTCTCAAGAACAGCAGTGCTGGAGCAGAAAATCGAGCAAACCCTGCGAGAAATCGATCAAGTCTCGCTATGCCAAATGCTGCTCATCACGATCCTAAAAGGTTTGCCAGACAAGTATGGCGCTAAGATGGATCTTGCCGTCAAAGCGCGGGCGCTTTTGGATGATATTGAGAAATTAGCCGGCAGGGAGCAGGAAGCGTCTCTAATTAATGAATGGCGGCGAGATCCCAACAGCGAAAAGTCCCAGGCTTTCTTTGAGTTTGCTGTTGTGAAGCCAGTAGATGCCTTGGCTAGCCTTGGAAAAGAGGTCTTGGAGCGAGACTTTGGGGCTGCCGCTGCTTAAATCGAGTTTTAGCCTAGCCTTGCCCCAAGCTGTAAATCCAAAGAGAGTCAAGGGGCTGACAACGATATCAACACAAATATCTCTCTCACATGAGAGAGAACAAGTCTAATAGATAATCCACAACAATATACTCCTTTTCATGTCTTGGCGCCCCATCTTCCTCGTCTTACAGTACTTTTGTTTGCTGTGGCTGTAGTTCGCCGCTGGACAGGAGTTTCTACCAATGCCATAGCCCCAGGCGAGGATTGCTGCTGTTCTCCATTGCTAATATAGCTAGCATTGGCAAGGCTTGGGTAATCAGACGAGAGTGCCACTCTCTTCGCAGACGTAGTGTTCATAATGTGGCTATCATCTCTACTCATCGTTGATCGCTTCTGTCGCGAGGCCGTTCCATAATGAGGCTGGCTGCCCTGCTCAGTTACGGAGCCGTATTCCCGAACATCCTTTCTGCCAGGGTTAGGCGTACCGTTTGCCATTCGAGTTTCTAGCCGCTGTATCCGAGTTCTAAAGAGGTCAAACTCCATCTGCAGGGATTCTACTTGGCTTGCTCGATTTCCAATCTTGGATATGTTGCTAGCGAGGATGTCCAGCTGATGGGATGAGATTGAGGGATCTTCACCCGCCGACGAGTGATGATGGTCGCTCTCTTGTGCAAAATCAGACTGCAGTTGTGCAATCTCTCTCCTTAAAGATGCTACTTCAGACGCATATAGCTTGGACGTAGCTATGCCTTCCTGTGCTACCTCTTTCGCCTCGTCGACTTCTTGCTTGAGACGGGCGTTTGCCTTTTTCACGTCTGTTATTTCCTTTTGTGCGGCTTTCAGCTCACCACGGAGGCCAGTGGTCTCTGATTTGGATTTTTGGATCATTTGCCGAAGTTCTGTCACCACTCTGTCCGTAGTCTGAAGCTGCTGGTCCAAGCGAGCAACAACGCCGTCATCATTCTGGCCACTCCTTTTGGCGTCGCTCATCTGGGTCTTGAGAGACTTAATGTCTGCCTGCTGCCCTTCTCCTTCTCTGCGAACGCTTGCAATGGACTCGCTGAGTTGCCGCATCTGTTTTTCAAGGCGCGCAACAGTATTGTCAAAATTGGACATGACTTGAAATCCAGCAACGCCAATCCGCTGAATCTCATCCTGCTGAACTTCCAAGTCTGCTTGAATCTGCATGATGTCGAATCTGTCTCGACTGGGAGTTGCTTCATTTTGAGGAGCTGCCTTGCCGCTCGCAGTGGAGAGCTTCGCTTGAGCCGCAGCTGACTGGCCTCTAAGCTGGAGAGTGCGTTGTATCTTGGGTTCAGCCTTACGCCTGAGGTCTTTGGCTATTTTAAGATTTATGGATGTGATACGATATATGATTTGCCCACTATTCTACGTTTAGCATCATATTGAATGAAAAAAAAATTATGGCCAGATGACACTCACTTGGCAAAGATATGATTCGGAGGGCTTGTTATGCACTTTTGTCCAATGTTTGTATGGCATGTTGAACATTCAGCATCTCGGAGCTCACTATGCCGGACAATCGTTGATTAGCAATCGTAGCCTACAAGAGGGTTTTATGTTATACGAATATAGTGAATAATGTTCATACCAGCCCTCAACTAGAGTGTCTGCATCGCCAATCCGAACAGCGCCCGTTGCCGAGATCTTGTCCGCATCGGCCTTTTCCTCAGCGTGTGCCACTGGTGTTATGTATTTTTTGCCTATCTGTGTCCATAAATTGGTGAGATTGCCCAATTTGGAATCGCATTTGGCACATCTAACGGCAACCAGGTCCATAATTATCTGGCCTTGTGAGATCTCGGATGAGATGAAAAACTGTAGGAGACGGCGAGGTTTTTACGAGACGCGGCGCATTGGTTCTGAGTCTATTTATACAGAGAATGGAGGTAGCTCAATACGAAAACTAGGAAAATAAAACGGTTGGTTTAAGAATGATAATTGTCGCGCCTCAATTGCAAGATGAGACAGATTGGGCACTTGCTGATGAGTCGCGTTAAGGAGCCGCGAGGCTACAGTGAGAATGTTGATCTTTAGCACCATTGGTCGCTTGTGATTGGCCTAAAACAAGAGTCCTGTCCACTAATAAGTTGCGATAAGATAAGGACTGGAAGGCTGCATTTTGAAACCCCTGCCAAAAGTTCAGCCGCTAAGGTTGGTTACGCAGACTTCAAAAAGCATCATCATCATTGATTTGGTATTTTTGCTGCTGCTTTCTCGTTCTTCTGACGTTGAGCGGTCACTACATCTCTTACGCCTTGAATTTCAGTTCTACGAATAAATTGGTATATTCTTCTGGACTTGTATCTCTGTCGACCTCTCCATCCTAGTATGAGCTGAGGACCCTTCTCAACTATTTCTTCTTCTTCGTCCTCTCAACTGCCGGAAAAAGCCAGTTCAGATTACTATCTGGCCTTTCTTGGGTATTTCACTAGTTGAGGAAATCGATTATCAACCTATATACAGGCCCCCAACATGGCCGACGCCGTCAATAACGATGACACTGCCGCCGAAACGGCCTCTCTGAACCACAGTGAAAGCAGCAGTCTTAAGAGGTCCAGCCCCCACGATGCAGAGGAGCAGGCGGATGACAAAGGCGAGTGGCAAACCGTCACAAGGCCGAATAAGAAGGCGAAGAAGGTGCCTCGCCCCGGCAAGGGAGGATACCCAGCTCTGACGTTCTCACCCAAGGCTCGTCTGCAGTCCATGCTTAATCTTAGCAGTCTGCGCGATCTCGTCACCTACATCTTTGCAGACGGCGCTGGCCCCCAATGGATTGGCGTCACTCATAGACCCCAGTTCAGGAAGATTGTTGCCATCATGATACCCGGCTTGGAGGAGGCGCTCTTCAAGGAGGGCGTCAACTACGCCACATTCAACAGCCTTAGAGATGCGGGTGTGGAAGCGGCCAGAGATGGAGATGCAAACGACTATATTGCCACTTCCCCTGATGATTATTATCCCCGAAGCCTCGACAAGGATAAGCTGCCGGAGCCTCTGAAAGCATTTGCGGACATGTTCCCCCATCTCTGGCCTGTCAAGACGCCTGGCGATGACAAGCACGGAAAGATGCACTCTCCAATGGCCGCTTTCCTCACGGCACCAGCCCCAAAGGAGAAGACATCACAGAAAGGTGGTGTGAAGCCTGCTAAAGAGCCAAATGGGTGGAAGAATGAGCGGACACGCATCACAGAGTTTCTAGCCACTACTGAAGAAATGGCAGACAATGGCTTCGTCATCCACCCAGCTCTTCTCCCAGAAGGAGAGCAGCGAGACAATTTCGTTGCCCCAGAAGGATACGTTGTCACAAAGGTAGACAAACTCGAGGACGGCGATGTCCCCGAGGCAGAAATCGAACAAGGCAGCATTACCGCCGGCAGGGATATCCTGGCGCTGGATTGTGAAATGTGCATGACGGGCGAGAGCGAGTTCTCCTTGACCCGCATCAGTCTTGTCAACTGGGATGGCGACGTTGTGCTGGACGAGCTTGTCAAACCTGACAAGCCCATCACCGACTATGTTACGCGGTTTTCTGGCATCACAGAGGAGATGTTGGCACCTGTTACAACTACCCTTCGGGACATACAGGAGAAACTGCTTGACATCTTGCATCCCCGCACCATTCTCCTAGGCCACTCGTTGGAATCAGACACCAAGGCCCTTCGAATTGCTCATCCCTTCATCGTCGATACTTCCATCATATACCCCCACCCGCGCGGCCCTCCATTAAAGTCCTCGCTCAAGTGGCTCGCCCAGAAATACCTCTCCAAAGAAATCCAAAAGAGCGATGTCCTGGGCCATAACAGCATTGAAGACGCCAAGACCTGCCTTGATCTCGCCAAGCAGAAATGCGAAAAGGGCAAGCTTTGGGGCGCATCGGATGCCCAAGGAGAGAACCTCTTCCGCAGGCTGGCACGCGCTGGTACAGCTTATAAAGCTCAGGGTGGTGACGCCGCCATTGGTGGTATTGAAGTTGGCAAGACGAGCGCCGCTGTCGATTGGGGTAACCCAAGCAAAGGTCCCGGGGCAGGAGCCACATATCAGCTCGGTTGCAAGTCCGACGAAGAAGTAACGACAAACATTATCCGAGCAGTCCTCGGCGATGAAGACGGAGCCGTGATCAGGGGTGGCGGGGTTGACTTTGTCTGGGGCCGGATGCGAGAGTTGGAAGCTCTGCAAGGGTGGTGGAATAAAAACCGCGTTGATAACTCCAGCAGCGATGGCGGACCCCCTGGAGCAGACGCAGACGTCGAGATGGACACGGACACTGACGCCATCGGCACCACGGCCGCATCTGGCGCGTCCTCTCCTTTGGGACATGCCCTCACCCAGCTTACTGAACGCCTTGTCCGCATCCACGCTGCCCTCCCACCATGCACAGGCTTCATCATCTACAGCGGCTCCGGCGACCCGCGGAAGATGGCCCAGCTGCAGCAGATGCATGCCAAGTGGCGCAAAGAGTACAACACGCCCGGCAAGAAATGGGACGAGCTGAGCGTCAAGTGGACTGATGTGGAAGAACAAGCATTGAAGCGGGCTGTTCGGAAGGCCAGAACGGGACTTGGTTTTGTGAGCGTCAAATAAGGGGGAGGTGGGTGGCTTTGTAAACTGTGTGCTATTACTGCAAGAAATGTTCTGAATGTCGTTGAATAGAGTAAAAGAAATAGAGAGTTGGGTGATAAATAAACCACCATAGTGGTTCCCTCCTGCCCTTCTGTATACCTAAACCAGTGCTTTTGGAGATTACCAGCAGATTGGTGGAATACTACCACATGTATTTATTCATTTATTCCTGCCAATTCATTATTTATATTTAATCTTCTCTCGTCAATGATACGTCTACGTCCATTCACGTCACAAGTAGATCAAAAACACATAGATTATGGCTATTGCATCCATTGCATCAGGGCTTACTATTAATTACATGCCCAATATTCATCCCATCCTCTCCTCAGGCCATTGGAAGAAAACGGCCTCTCAACAAGAAAAAAAAAACACAACTCATAATCTTTCTTATACACACATAGGGCATGTCCGCTCTAGAAGCTTAGTATGCTTCATTGTCCTAGCCTTGGACAAAAGACAAAAGAAAACCTCCCGCTCGAAATGTACCGAGTTATAAAAACAAAGAAGGAAAAAAAAAAAAAAAAAAAACGCCTGCTACCGCAAAACCCCCCATGATCAGAATCCTGAAATTTTTTCTGTATCAACCTTTTGACCGATGACCAAAGAACAAAAAAAGGAAATAACCAACCTCCCATGACGCTTCGTGTATCTCGCTGGGGGGCACAACGTCTGTACGACTCTATACAGAAAAAGGAGAGTAAACAAGGAAAAATTAAATAATCAAGAGAGTAAAAATAAACAGAAAGCAGAAGCCACCATATGCGCCGAAGCTTGCTAAAAAAGGAACATATCGCTGCTCGTTGTCGTTGATGGCTTTGCAAGCGAGTTAGATCAATCTTTTATCTTCTTCTTCTTTTTCTTTTGGTTTATGGCGTCAGTTGTAGTGTGGGTAAACATCGATCGGTTGCAATCTAAGCATCCTTTCCGGAATGCGCGTCTTCTACAAGAGACGCAGCAGTGCTCAGATGCCCATCATCTTCATGCCGAGGATCGATCCTGTTAATGCTGTGTTGCGAAACAGTTCCAAAGCCGGCAGGATCATCCTCCTGAGTTGCAAAGTCTATGCTTCTCATATCTGGAAAGTCGAGCGACGATTTTGAGGATGGCCGCTGGTGGTCTGACCGTCGATCGGAACCTCTCCGCTCAAATGGGAGACGCGGCAGCAACGATACGCCACCATTGCCACCATTGTGTATACTAGGCACGGTTTGCTGGGTGCGATCAGATCCCCGGCTTCCAGGTGGACTGACTTCGGACTCTACCATGACAACAGGCGTAATCTGAATGGTTTCGTCCAGTAAGGCCGACTGTCTCTTGGAACTCTTTCGTGGGATATCAGGCACGCCGAGCTCAACGTCAGATAGGTCTTCTGAGCTGACACCGTTGCTATCGCCATCGTCGTCAGAAACTTCAGCTCTTTTTGATTGCAAAGCTGTGGCTGATTGAGATATTCGTCCCCTAGGAAGTCTATCTGTGATGATGCTGTCTGGCTCATCATCGTCCGCGTCGGAGTCTGACTGCGGATCACCATTATCAGTTAGCAGCTCGCCTTCGCGACGCTTGGGCCGATGAACTCGAGGCTCATCATCATCATCGGAGTCGATGGGTCCATTTCGAATGACACCCATGGCGACAGGAATACCTTCAGGCGGCGTCTCATCGCCGAAGCCTCCATTCCGAACCATGTTTGGCGGCATTCTGGCACTTCTGACGACCTCGAATCCTTTGCCCTTCTCCTTGGTCTTGCCGCCAAATATCAGCCTGCGAACCCATCCGGACGCTGTCGCAACGGGCCCAGTAGGATCTGCCGGACCAGTTGTAAGCTTCCTGCCTGGTCCTTCAGAGTTAAGCGCAGGGCCGCGGACACCGTAATAAAAGTCAACCTCACGGGTCGCGTAGTCAGGTCTGTTTGCCGGGAAGCTTATAGCCAGATTGCTAGGTCCTGGAGTGCCTCCTCGCAAGATTTCCGCGGACGCGTCAGGGGGTTCAATTGTTCCTCCAGGCAGAGGGACAGGTTCAATGATGAGCGAGTCGCGCTGGTCTTCGGTTTGTCCAGAATCACCAGTCATCTCACGGCGCCTCCGTGGGGGGCGGTAATAGGGATCAGTAGATTCCAAGGCAATGCCTGGCGGCCCCTGGCGGGCAGCAGAAGGTGATGCAAGAAATGAAAAGGTGCTGGCCTCACCCGGCGTTGTTGGTACGTACGAACTGGCAGTATCGATGTTGCGGGGCAGTGCCGAGTACATACTATCGAGAGCAGAGCTGCTCCGATGTCTATGGTGCGTAATGACTCCGCTAAGGCTGGCCACGGAGCCGCTTCGGACTCTACCACTTGGCATTGCATAGCCAGATTTGCCGCTGTCATCAGCATCCAGCATGGCCGCCGTAGACAGCTGACTAGCTCGGGATGGTCCGTGACGATGGTTCACTCTCCTGGAGAGCTGCCTCATGCCAAAGATCTTGGAGAGGCCGCCGCGAGTCAATCCAGACAAATCATCTCCGCCGGCACCGAGCATTCTTGCGGCGACTTCGATGATGGTCTGTATAGCTCCGAGGAAGAAGCCAAGCGCAAGCACGCAAGCATGGAGGAACAAGATTACGTAGCCAATCCAGCCCCTTGGCCCTTCCGTTACACCCAAGCTGGGTACAAAAGTAACCATGAGCATGATGATGATCAATCGCAGGAGCGCAAAAAGGCTGTGGTAGATATTCATCGAGGTGGCTCTCTGATAGGGCCGAAATGCATAGATCATGAGGATCTGAATGACCTCGCAAATAGCCAGGAGCACAACCTGGGCAACACCACTGGGCTGAACAGCGCCAATAGCAACGCCCCTGATGATGTTGATCAGAATGGGGATAAGGGCAAATGCAGCAACCTCGTCTGCATATGTATTGTACAAGGGTCCATATCGCAGGACGGTGGGTAAATCATCAAACAGGACCGACTTCGGGCGCGTAATGATGACCAGATAGAGAAGATAGGATGCAAAGCCAATCACCAGTGCCAGGGTCAGCGCAGCCAAGCCAACGGTGTAGCCCGGCGACTGGCCGGAGACGACAAACTGGAAGCATGACAATGCCACAATAGGAGTCAGCATGTAATTGAAGACAATGCGCACCACGTTGCCAATGACAAAGGGGAGGTTTTTTGCCTGCAGATCTTCTTCTGTGGTCTTCTTCACTTTTCGGAAGACCCATTGGATAGCAAAGCCAACCTGGATGAGCACAATAACGGCAGCGATGATGACGAGGAGCCATACCATCATGCCAGGCCATATATCCTCCGCCTCAGACATGCCGATGAGCTGTGCCGTCTTCTGTAGCCCGTATGTTGTGCCTGGTTTAGTCACGTATACTCCATCCACCACATTCTGCCATTGCTTGGTATTGCCAAAAAAGCTCTCATTGAACATGAGGGTAGACCATCCAACTTGGCTCACGACAGGCTGGAAGAAGCCAGGGTAAGAAAGAGTGAGCGAGCCAGTAAGAATGATGAATTGAATATACTGCAGACAGTCGCCGAATCCAGGGGTCACGAGCCTTAGTAAATCAGCGTCCCGTCCATAGTTGGATGTCCAGTGGAAGATGTTGGTGGTGCCCCAAGGGCTCCATATTCCAGCGAATGGGACTGCGAGGCCAGCAAATATCAACACTATAAGTGGCATGAATTTGAGCACCCAGGAGATGCTGCCCAAGTCAGGGGTAATGGTGGCGGAAACACAGCCGATATTGGTGGCTGCCTTGTCGCCATTGATGAGGAGAAAGGTGAGAGAGAAGGAGCTGAAAGCGTAAGAAGAGAGGAAGTCATGGCTCAGATTGACCGAGGGAAGCACGTATGGAAGAGAGCTGGACAGCAAGATTTACGTTAGCTCGTTGGCACAGTATAATAACATGGTGAAAACACACGTCATTCATAGAGCGTCAGATTATGGAGAAGAGAAGAGACATAAGGATGCGAATAAAAACATTTGGGTAACAGATGACTTACCTATTAGTATAGTCAAACACAGGCGCCAAAGGACATGTTCCGTTGACAAGACTATCTGCGCAAAAGTTGGAGCGGTCATTATAAGGCTCGTACGTCAAGACATTGACTCTCTTGACCAGCGTCGTCGCAAGTGTATCCTCGTAGGGCGTCTCGTCGATTTTGCCATTCGTCTCATTGGCGTCCTTCCAATACGGATCGCCCGGGGGAGGAAGCGCGCCAACATTCTGCGAGCCCGTCACGTTTCCCCAGGCAATGACCCGAAGGTTGTTGTTTGGCGACTTTGTGTCGAAGACGGCATCGAGGTAGAGCGGCACCCACTGCAGCAGAGGCGGCTTGTTCAAAACGTACGAGTCGGGGAGGCAGTTGTCGAACTCGAGCAGAACGGCAGCGGCGGGCGTTGCGACGGCGAGGACGAGCAGAACCAGGGCGAGCAACGATGATCTCGCGGTCAATGCGAGGATGCGGCTGGGGTGGCACCATCTCGTTCGCGCTCGGATGACGCATCCCTCTTGGGCGCTGTTGCTGGTGCACCCCTCCATCGACGCATAAGCCTGGGAAGAGTCCAGCTCTGAGGCTGAATGGGAGTCCATCACGGCCTGTGGCGGCGAGGCTGGGCGAGGCTGGCCCTCGGTCGAGGCCATGGGAGATATTCGAGGATCATGCCGGTGGTGGCTGCTGTGGTTGTTGTCGCAACTACAGCGACTGGGTCGACGCATCGTGGGCATCGACAGCCAGGGGGCCAACTCTGCAGGCTTGCATTCAGAGGTCGCGCATCTTTAGCGGATCAGCCAAAAGTGTGTCAACGAGCGTACAGAGGGCGGGCGCAAAAGATTTAAAGAGAAAACGAGGGACTGTAGGTTAGAAACGAAGAGCTGGTGAAGGGTTCAATGTGACAAAAAGTGCAAGAGGAAAGAAAAAAAAGTCTGGAAGATGTTGGCTGGCGCAGACGATGGCCTGGGAGCTGGGCCAGAAGCTAGGGTGGAGTGGGAAGAGTGGCAGTGTTGGCGCCGTATTGAGCAGCGGCGGGAGCTTTTAGGTGAAGTAGCGCCTACAGGAGCTGCTCCAGAGCGGTTGCGGCGCGGGATGGCCTCGCCAAATCACTGCTGAGGCCCGGTACGAGGTACAAGAGTCAAGGTGTTCGGGTAGAGTAGCCAGCCCGCCATTCAGCAGCGCACGCTGTAACATTCGAGTGGAACTGAAACCTGTTTCTTCTTAATGTAAGTGTCCCCCTCCTGTTTTTTTTTTTTTTTTCTTCTCTTTCCGTCTTCTATATCTCCTCTGCTCTGTTTCATCTCCTCAGGAATAACTCCTCCAACTCTGGAATATTTCCAACAGGCCGCAATGGACAGACAACAGACACGGCGCACGTAATCCTCCCAACCATTACAGCTCCCAGTCCCCATTAGTAACCCCGATAACCTGCTGGCTGTCAACATGGGTTTCCGTCCAAAAAGAGGCGCGCCGGCCGGAGCAAAGCTGTGGCAGTGCAGCCGCCGCAATCCACTAAGACAGGCCGGCCGTTAGCGCCAAAAGCACCCCATGGCGCCCTCTTTTTCGAGGCCTGAAACACAAACAAACTCGTTCCATCATCGATACGCCCGCGTTACACACGAATGGCTTCATCCGATTTACACGTACATATTCAGCGGTAGCTGTGCAGCATGTTACTCATCAGACTCCTCTATCTCGATCTCTTTGATTCTCCGCTAATTGTTCAAAGGCATCAGAGTGTACGGAGTACTACATAACGCTCCTAGATGGGAGTATAATAAGATAAAACGTTCCCCAGCACCCCAACTGCCTATAGTTCTACAAGACAGAGAGTCTACATGCATGCATAAAAGAAGCCATTTGAACCAATCAATGTCATATACACCAGACTTGGAAGTATTAGCAGCGGTAGCAGCAGTAAAAACTGTAGCACTGCCATCACCCACTCCTCTACTCTCGCTCTTCGTATCTCTGTACGTATCCCTTGTATGCCCACGCCGCACTCCCCAGAAATACTTTATGCAAAGAAACATTGCATACAAGCTTATTACCATACAGAAGTGCTAATTCTAGAAGCTTACGTTATTACCAGCTCAGCACGCACATGCACTTTGACTCCCGTGCATTAGCACCCGCTGGCTGATATCAGTAGATACCCAGTAAGAATGTGACTCCCTCATCATCACAATACCCTCCTCTACCTCTCTCTCATGGTCTCACTCATCCAATAGGCCGTCCCGTCCTCAGATCTACTTATAGCAGCAGATAATGCCAAAACACGAGCTTCAATGCATGTATGTGATATTTGCTAGACAGGCAGGAAAACATGTTCCAAGCTGTTTACAAACTAACACCATGTGGATCTCCCAACGTTGACGTACTTCAAATGGGCCGTGAGCTCCATATCAGGGTAGGCAGAAAAGAACAGAAGCCAAAGCTCGTTTTGTCTCGCATTACCACCACAGTAAGCAGCCATGGAACCATTACGATCCAAACAGAAAGAAAGAAAGAAAAAAAGCAAGAGGCTTCTATCGTGGCGTCGATCCTCACGCCCATCAATCAGCAGATACGAAGTGCCCTTGGCCAACTCTGGCTCCATCTACCAGGGGTTGCGCCTAGTCAACATCCATCCTAGCCCTTTTGTGCCTATTTTTAAACCCGATGCCAGGCCACAGGGCCGGGGTCCCTGTCGTGGGACCCCCTTTTGGCGCTGGCGATTGGACATTGCAGCGTGGTATTCTGCATCAAGCAGCGCATATTGTGGCTTTTATATGCACCCATCACTCGTATGAGGTGCCTTTACATCACCTGTAATGCCATCTTTTGTGGTACTGCTTCTTCGTACCCATCAAATACAGGTATCAATTGAAGACACTAATCCCATTTGCTATACACGACATTGGGCTTCCAGCGCACAAAACAGTCACGATGGTTTCTCCCCTTCCTCTGATAGCACCACGTCACAAGCGTCCGTTCATCTAACCCACCATTTACGCAACCGCGTATACGAGCTGCGTGTACAGAAACGCCTCGCCTACCAGCCGACCCAGTACGTTAGTGCCCGGGGCCACTACCTGGCGAGAGATCTCCATCAAGATTTGAACCCCCAATTCTCGTACCTGTCTTAATACGAAGTTTTCAAGGCCAAAGAATCCTCCTTCCAGCTCGTCTCTATCCGCAGGTTATGCCCCAATCAAGCCAGTTCCCTCCGCAAAATAACTAAAAGTGTTTCAGAAAAGAAGTAAACGTCGTCTTTCTGCTGTGAACAGCTCTTGCTGGGCATGGATTAAGTTGCTTGATCATATTCCTGCAGGCCACTTTTCCAGGCTCAACTGGCCCCCCTGGCCCTGCTGCTTAAAAACGCAGGACATTTCGGAAGTCCAGACGTCCAGCCCCAGCGACCTACTGCTTGCATTACCGGTCCGGCATCACCGCCTTGTATATCCACTTTTTACCACCAGATGCCAAATCTTCCATGACGTTTACCTGCTACCTTGCGTGTAGTGCTCCGTAATCCGCTCTGTTCAAACATCATCCGGATCTCTCGGCCACATCGCCTTCAAAGCCTCGGATATAAAGTGAACTCGGCAGATGAGTTGTAGTTACTATTGAGTGAGAAGCCGTTGCTGCATGGTGAGCATGCCCAGTTGCGTGCTCGCTTTTTTCCTGTCTCTTCAGATACGCAGTAAAAGGACTTTCACAATAAACCTCACCACCCAACATATCTTCGAGGAAGTAGTTATTGGTCAGTAAGTGCGGTCTTCTTACCTTTGACGACCGATCGTGGCTTGTGTTCCACTTCAGTCGCCTGATTCTGTGTCTGCTTCCACGAGTCAACTGCATCCTGAAGACGGGATGCTATCTTGCCAGCTTCCTCCATGTTTTCAAAAGCTCTTACGTTACCCCTGTCGTCTGATATAATATCGTAGCCCTGGAAACAAGTTTGTTTTGCCAAAGTTTTGACCTTTTTCAGAGAGATCTTACGAGAGATTGAGGTATTATACATAGCCAGGTAATTTGGTGTCACTGAGAGGGGAAGTCGGCGAGATGACAGTCGCCTCGCAATGCCATGGCTTGCTTGTGAACGCCGCCTCTTGATAAGATAGAATCTCGGATCTTCAAGCTCGTCATCAGTATCTCTAAGAGGTGCTCTTTTTGGGGCATTATCGCAAACAGGAGCCTTGATTGGTGGGCGAATATCTCGCTGAGGAGTTGCTGGGAGACTATCGCGCCCATTTGACTCATCTCGGGCCGCCTTGGGCCGTGATATGGTTCCAAGAGATCGACTATCCGGCAAAGGCGCTTGCATAACATGAGAGCGATGACTTGGTCCATGTGAGAGGAAATTCGGCTGTGAAGCATTTTGCCGGCTGGTATCCGGTTGCGATGCTAGTTCAAAAGCATTAGTCGTGCTGTCTTCCCGACGATTCAGCCCTTGAACTCCTTGGAAGTATGTCTGAGGTCGGTTATCTCTCAGGTTGGCTCTCGACATGTCTAGTTCTCGGTCCGTCGCCTGGTTATGTGTCGCTCGCCGCCGGTTGCGATTCTCTCCTGGCAGTGTAAAAGCTATTACTCTGCTGGTTGGCGGAGCTCTGGGCCGAGGTCGCACTGCGGTATTTCCTGTAGGGCTTTCTCTCTCAGAAGGTCTCCCCGGAGGTCTGAACGGAGGGTTGGAGGATCTCTCGTTTCGTAAAAAGCTAGACGGAGGGGTTGGCCATTCCGCAATATTTCCTGGCTGGCGTGGAGAGTGAAACGCCGAGGTTTCTTGATCCAGCAAAGGCAGAGTAGGAACGAGTGAGATTTGCTGGGCTCTCTCTTCTCTGGTATTGACGTTGTTTGTCCTCTCTATATCATCATCCAATGTTGCTGTCTCGAGCTCTGTACTAGACACATCTGATTCCGACTCTGGTTGACCATTCATCGCATTTAACATGGATCTAGTCAAAGGCTGCAAAGGCATACGGTCAGCTGTACCGGGAGGTGATTCTGGGAGATTTCTCTGCAAGGGGTTTCCCTCGGTCGCCGTCTCATCAGTTGCAATCCGAAAATCGTCATTCTTCCGCGGGAGTAGATATCGTTCAATGTTCTCTGACGCAGAAATTTTGGGGACTTGTGGCTTCTGTCTAGGTGGGATTTGAGCTGCAGTGATGAGTGAACAAGGCACTTGTATATTAACGCTGTTGATTGTGCTGTCTTCGTCGGTAGAATTGCTGCTGGTACGAGACATATTGACAATCTTTGATGTCCTCATCCTAGTTAGTAATGCTTCACTTTGTGACTCCGGCTCACGAGGTAAAGGCAGTGATGTAGTGGTTTGAGCGGCTGCATGGTCTCCTTGTGATGTACTCTGAAATGAGTCCAAATCTTCCACAGCGTATATATCCTCACTATCCTCAAAATGCCCTACTGAGTTCCGCATCCCCTCTTCGGGCTTCGAACGCTTTGGGGCTGAAAAAGGGTGTTCCACGTATCGCTCGGCATATACTCGCTGGCATAATCCCGTAAAACTAGCAATGATTTTATTTTCGTCTCCAAATAAAACTTCGTCTTTCAGCGGCGCAACGTTCGCATCGTAACTATAGGCTGGACAGCGAATATTGAGCCGTAAAAAAGGGTTGGGTATGCTGATACCAGATTTTGTGCCATCTGTGGCTCTGTTTAAATGGTTTTTGAAAATGGCTGTGATTGTCTTGGCTATGCCACAAGTAGCTGAGAGTGGCCTTGAGTCGACTGATAAGTAGAGGCCTTTGCCTTTGACGGCATGGACGTCAAAACCGGGCTTTGGCATGAAAGCTTCCAGTATAAAATCTTCGGCTACCTGTTGGCTGGCCTGGGGGAGTTCGGCTTGATCGCATGCGGAATTACGAGACACATGGATACAGCTGCTGGCCAAAGGCTTTCCGAATATCTGTAGAGCGGCCTCGTTGATATCTGCCGCACAAGCTGGAGCATATGACCAGCTGCCTGTAGCCTCGCCGAGTACTTTAAATGATAACCTGAGAACAGGCCGAGCTAACACATATGCTTTCAAGAGATCCCTGGTAGATTTGATGTACTTGGCGCTGTTCTTCAAAGAATATTGCTTTCTAGGGGGCAACGTATCAAAGAGCTTCGTAACTTGGACGGTTGTACCAACGGGAGCTGATGCAGGGGATCTATTCTCCGCTCCTCCAACAGCGCGCTTGAGCTGTAAACGAGTCGCCACCACATCATTTGGTGTCCGAGTGGTGATGGAGACGGCAGCGAAAGTGTTCATTGCTGCAAGTGCTTCGCCGCGAAAGCCGAATGTTTCCCTAGCTCTTGATCCAAGCTCATCAAATGCTCTCAACTTGCTAGTATGAGCTCGCCGGCCCAGGGCATCAAAGTCGTCGATGTCGATTCCATGGCCATCGTCTCGGACTCGGATCGTATCAAGATGGTTGGAAGAGACTGCAACTTCAATATAGCTGGCTCCAGCGTCAATGGCATTGTCAATGAGCTCCTTGACCACGCCGCAAGGAGTGGTGATAGTAATTGAGGAGCCTAGAGTTCGAACAGTGGACTGGGGAAGAGCTGATATGGGCATACTGGTAGAGGTTGAGATATGTGACACTTTGGAAAAGTTACAATGAAAATATGTGACACTTGGGGAAAAGTAACAGCATCGCAACAAAGATCAAGGCTATCGAAACGAGAGGAATCATTGAAGATGTTTGAACGTCAAGCCTACCATTATTTCTACCTACGTCTAATTATTTGCCTAGGCGGTGACTCTTGACCCATCTCTCCTTCCCAAGTTGACTCGACGAAAACTGAGCAAAGGAAGCTGCAGTCCACTATCATGTCAGCCAGGTACCTTGGCACAGCAAAATCAAGCCAAGAGATACTACTAGTAGGTACCTGAGACAAATCCACGGAAGGCACGCCCTGTAGCTGCCTCGTAATCACGCAGCCCACGAATGACCTGCTCCCCGAGTCACCTGCCATCCAGTTCCTGCACCAGCAAAATGACGTTTCCGCTCCAAATAGCTCAGAAAGGTACTTTCGTACCGCCCGCCTCTACCCCGCCGTCTCAGGCTTCTGCCCCGCCGGAAATCATCAGTCAGCGTCAGCTAACCAAAGCTCTAAGCTTCATGAAGGATCGCCATTGCAATAGCTTTTGGTCCAACTAATTTACTCAGCTGCATATTCCTTCTTTTATTTCCTCTTTTTTTTTTTTTTTGGACCATTCAAACTCGAGCTTAACAACACTCACTTCAGCATCTTCACCACCAGCCAAAGTCACCATGTCTTCCATCAAGGGCCCCGCTCCTCAGCACCACGACGGCTCCAGCCTGCGCATCGGCATCGTCCACGCGCGCTGGAACATCGCCATCATCGAGCCCCTCGTCGCCGGCGCAAAGGCCAAGCTCCTGGAAGCCGGTGTCAAGGAGTCCAACATTGTCGTCCAGTCTTGCCCCGGCGCATGGGAGCTTCCCATTGCTGTCCAGCGGTAAAATTGCCTTTCCTCTGCCTCCTCTCCCACCCGAGGACCCCTCCGTTGCGATTATTCCTCGAAAATAACTGACATCTTTTCCTCAGGCTATACTCTGCTTCTCAGATCCAGTCCAATGCTTCCGGCGCCCCCTCCGCGACCGATCTCCTCGGCGCTTCCACCCACGACCTAACCGCCCTCTCCGGCAGCGACTCCAGCAGCGGGCCCTTTGACGCAATCATTGCCATTGGCGTGCTCATCAAGGGCGAGACCATGCACTTTGAGTACATTGCCGACTCTGCCTCGCAGGGCCTCATGCGCGTCCAGCTCGACATTGGCATCCCCGTCATTTTCGGCATCTTGACCGTGCTCAACGACGAGCAGGCAAAGTCCCGCGCGGGTATTAGCACAAGCGCCGAAGGCAAGGGCCACAATCACGGAGAAGACTGGGGCTTGGCGGCTGTCGAGATGGGCGTCAAGAAGAACGAGCTGGCTGCGGGCAAGATTCTTGGCTAGGATTGTAAAATAGTCCGAAATAGAAAAGAGTTGTAAAAAAAAAAAAAGAAAAAGAAAAAGAATGAAACAAGAGCAAAAAAATATCACAAAAACTCATTACCAAGAAATAGGCACGCTGGCAGAACACTGGCAAAGTATCTATAGAGTCAGATACCGACTCCATGGGTTCAGCTAGGTATTACGAAACATCTCACGAGTAGGACAATATCCAATAGTAGCAGTGAACTATAAAGTTTGACAGAATATAAAAAATAATAAAGACGCGCTTTGGATACATTTGCTTTGATTCCCGTATATCAATCCTATGCTTTTTATCTTTTCTCTCTTCATTCTCCAGCGCTTGTAGTGTACTAGTAGTCATGACCATCCCTCTTGCCAGACAAAGGAAATAGGAGAACAACTCGTTGCAGACAAATTATTCAATTACGGCGTAGAGCCATTTCTATCATGCGTGACGCGACCCCGTCCCAGATAAATGTTCCCACCAAAAATTTGACGCCCGAGGGGACGTCCAAAAAAAAAAAAACATCTAGCTTGCCAATTAATATTTTTTTTCTCTTTTTATCGAGTCGCACCGCATAACATGACGGACCATGGTATCCAAGCATAGCATTAGAGGAGGTCTCAGTTAAATATCCCAAAAAAAATTATCAACCTTGTGTTCGCCCATATCCAAAACAAGGCACAACACACTCACACGTACTCACAAATTCACACATTGTTCCACAGAGAGAGAGAGAGAGAGAGAGATGCACACCCATGTTATCCATACACATCTGTTTGTTTGTTTGTTTTTTCGCCCAGAAGATGAGACAAAGGAGACGGGGAAAACAGACACGAACAGGATCGATACGACACTCGCTCAGATCACTGAGCTCAGATTCTTCTTGCTTCTCCACAGAGATCTCTTCTTGTCTCTCTTGTCCTTCATCGCCTCCCAGCCTTCCTCGTCGTCCTCGTCATCAGAAGCTGACTTGTTCACAATCCTCATCGAGGTCTTGTTCTTGCTGTCATAAGCGGACAGAGCGCCTGAGAACGATTGAGACTGCATATGACCAAGTCCGGCCGGGTTCACGGCCTGGGAGACAGGTCTATAACGGTTGGGAAGACCAATGGTGCTTCGCTCTGATGGCGCAATCGAAGGAGCATATCCTTGATGAGATGACCGGATGGAGCCGGCGTATCCGGGGTGAGGCATAGGTGAAGCCATAGGTGCCGAGTTTGGCTGCACCATACTCATTGTTCGCATGCTACCATAGTCACCACGACGAGGCTCAAGAGTCTGCTCGCCCATCATGGAGTGTTGTGAAGAAATGTCCACCATGGAATGATTACCCATGAGGCCACCATAGGGCTGTTGATACGGTGACTGCAGCTGCGGTGGTGCCTGCTGTGGCCCGCCGGTTTGGTTTGAAGCCATCATCTGCATGAATTGCATCTGCATCTGCATAAACTGCGACATTTGCTGCGTCATCTGGAGCTGAGCCTGGTCGCCCACAGTAAGCATCGGTGGCGGTGTCATCATGTGAGGAGCCATCATGCCCGGCATTCCACCTCCCATCTGCTGCTGGGCATACATCATATGCGCGGGGATACCAGCAATAGGATCAATTGCAGTGCCTCCGGGTGTGTTGTAGCCGCTGCCCATGAGTCTTGAGGGGTCGACACTTGGGCTTCCGCGCCGCATCGCTCGCTGGCGTTCCTCACTAGCAATTACACCAACAAGGCCTCCAGGAGGAAGCGGTGACGGGGGCTTGGGGCCCATACCCATTTCATTGAAGGATAGAGATTCTCTGATAGCAGGTTGGGCAATGCTTGCTCCGACAAAGGGATCCTGAGGCAAATTGCGTGCAAATGCTGGAAGGGTTGAGTGGCGTCGGGCAGCAGCAGATTCTCCCATTGATGACGTCGGACGCCCCGGCATGAGCATAGCTGAGGCTCGAATGTTGGGGTTTGATCCCACGGTGCTGAGCCTAGTGGGAGGTCGGTTCTTGTTGGGGAATCCATGCGCCTGCAAGATGGCAAGAGGAACCTCCTCGTCATCGTCGGCCTCATCCTCCGCTCCAGGCACGCCGGACATGGCAGACGCTGCCGCCGGGTCAAGGGAAGGATGCTTTACATGGCTGAGCTGCGGTGCGCTCATTGAAGCCGGGATGCCAAGCCCGTTTGTTGGATTCGTTTCACCAGTTACCTTCATCATCTGCTGGCGATACACAGCCATGTGAGCTTCCTGCTTTCTTCTCTGCTTCACCTGTTGCTTAGACTTTTCAGCCTCGTCTTCGTCATCGTCGTAGTTGATGTCGTCTTCGTCATCATCCTTGGCAGTGCTGTTTGTCCTATCATGACGGATTTTATCTTCTCGATATTTTTCGAATTCCGCAGGGGTCATGACTTTGTTTCGAGGTGCGCCATCAGGAGGAGGGATGTATCGGGTGTAGGAGGGGACAGGGGGCCGGGCTCCGTCTCCCCCGTTGTTAGAATTGGGTGCGGGCTTGGCTCGCGGAACTACGGTAAAATTATCCTCCTCTCGCCGGTATCGCCCCTGCTGGGGGTTTTCATCAAATTCGTCATCTTCAGCCGACAGGAGCTGGATGGCAGTGTAAGTTTCCTGGAGGAGCTTTGCATCCTCATCGTCTTGTGCTTCTTCGGGCTGCGCATGCTCTTGAATTGGCGACTGCCTCTGCGGTGGTGGCGGAGGCTGGTGAGTGGGCGCCTGGCGAGCTGGGGGTTGCTCAGGTGGTGATACTTTCCTGACAGGCGCTTGTCGAGCGGGAGACTGGTACCGAGAAGCTGAATGGTTCGGAACAGGCGGGGGGTCTTCATCGTCTGATGGATAATCATCGCCAATGTCGTCGTCTTTGGGCGAGTTCCATGCGCCGAGCAGCGGTTGGGCCGGCGTCGCGGTGTCCGGGCTGTATGGCACCTGGTGGTGGGTTTGCGGGTTGCCAGTGAGGAACCGGGGAGAAGCCAAGTCGTCGTTCTTTACCGTAGCCATGCTGGCCCTCTTATCGAAACCTGATCCTGAAAACATTGATCCAAAGTCACCACCCATGTCTATAATAACGCTGGTATCGCGGGGAGCTGGCTTGCGGGGAATGATTGGGGCCTGCGTGTATGTAGTCGTACCTCTAGATCCAGTGCGTCCTGGTTCAGCCATGATGGGCATGGGCGGCGGCAAATCCGGCATGGGGGGGTCTTCCAGCGGCGGAGGAATGCTGTACTTTTTCTGTCCACCAAACGAAAAGGTCCGGCCAGCTCGGTCTAAGAACTTGGATCCGATGGATTTGTTTCCGCGGCCGTGTATATCCGACGATGAGCTCTTGGGTGGCCCATTTCGATGGTCGTCGTGGAACAGGTTGCCTCCGCTAAAGTCCGCCGAGGAGGGTGCCGTCGAGGCATTGCTATGGCGCGAAGAGGTATCAGTGGACGTGGTATGCGTGGTATTGGACAAGCCGCTCCCACTTTGCAATAGAGTCAGCATATATATAATACGCCAAACATCATCAATGAGTTACATGGCTGAGTGTCTCGGGTATCGCTATAAACTCCTCCCCCCTTTTCTTCTCTCCACCTCCAGGAAAATAAAAAATGAAAAGATTCAGAAATGCAACAAAGGAAGCAACTCACCGGTTCGCCTTCATATCAGAAAACATGTTGTCGTCTGCCTGGAAATCAGGCTTGGCAAGCATAGCTCCGCTGGCTCTGGCCATCTTGACGCCACCGTCAAACGATTTGACGCCAGAGTAGTCGTGGCGTTCCAAGACCCTGAATGTTCCTTGTCCTGGGGGCGTCACCTCAGCATTTTCGAGTTCGTCTGCGTTGCTTTTCCGCCTAGCAAAGGCAACCGAAAATCTAGGCATGAAGGCCGCGAGATTGGGAACCTTGGGTCGAGATTTTGACTATACCTCCCTATTCGCAGCTCGGCGGCGATCTTTTTTTTTTTTTTTTCCGACGCTGCCTAACAATTTTCCGTCTGCCGAAAGGCGGGAACCGGTCAGCAGGCTTAGGACCCTAGCGATACGAGGTCCGGTGATGGACAAAGGCGACGTCTGAGTCGAAGTGGCTGTCACCAGTGATTCGCGTCAGGCTCGTTGGGCGACACAAAATCCAGTTGGGTGGCTGCATAAAGCAATAATCAATATTAGCAAATGGTCAGCTGATGCATCTCTTTGTTTTGTTTTCTTGGGTTTGATGGTTTCCTCCGTCGGCCAGTGTCGAAACAGATGAAGGTTGAAAACACAGCACGGATACAGCAGAGATTGATTGCGCCGGTCGACTTGCAAAGGAGAAATCAATAATGCTCCTTGTTGGTAAGCTGGCAGTGGGCAGGTATTTCTGGCTGAGACACGACCAGGTGGTTGGCCGGGAGCGTCCGGCATGCGCGAAGCTAAGCAAAGAAAGGTGTAGGACTCACATTAATCTCGGAAGTACAACGCGCGCAAGAGCACAGGCTCTTGGTACTTGGTTCCAAAAGGACCCGATGAAGAGGGGGAAAGGATGCAAAAGGATGCAAAAAGGTGATGAGTAAACGAGGGTGGAAAAATTAAATAGATGGATGGGCACGATGCAAGAAATGTTATAGTACTCGGTAGTGAAAGGGGGAGAGTCAAAGAATACAATAGAATAAAATGCCCAAAAAGTTACAAGTAGCGATAGATGATGCCAGAAGAAGCGCAAGCAAAAGCCAAGAGACGGCGCGGAGAGCGAAAGGTATGTCGATGAAGAAAAGCCCAGAGAGAAGGTCAAGAAGATTCAAGTCGAACGAGTGAGCAGCCGAGGCAGCTATCAAAGAGAGGGGGAAATGAGCCAAACGGATCAAGTCGTGGGCTATACGAGGCAGTACAATAAAACGCAACTTGTCGCTGAGAAAGACACACCCCGATCCTCGATTTCGACGTCGACGGGCGATGAAAAGAGAGCGGCGGGAACAAGACAGCGTACAGAGTACGGCAAGAAGGGGTTGAAAGAAGAACAAGAAAAAAAAAAGGGATGTCAACTTCAGGAGAGCGACGGGAGGAGGCCAGGCGTTAAGATGCGTGCCGGCTATTGACTGGCTAGCTCGTCCATCCATCCCATCCCATCAACCATCCATCAGAATTGGTCCCCTGTCGGCCGGTCTGCGTTCTGCTAGGCCGATCTCGTAAGCCATGGGTAGAGGCCGGAGTTCACTTCTCAGGTAGCCCGCCAACCCGCCCCTATCCCTGCTTTGCGCTGCCGTCCCCTTCTGGCGTCCCTGGCCGCACACGGAGAATCCAGCGCCTCTTGTCGCTAGCCATTGCGGTGGAGGGCAGGGAAGACTGGATGCGAATCAGGTGGTGTGGTTGGCTTTCCGGCTGCGACAGGCGTGCTGGGAGATTGCCCGGGCCTCTGACGGCGGTGGAACGGGTTCTGGCCACTGGGCGGGCACAAGCACAGCGCAGCAACAGCAACGACAGCAACGACAGCAACGGCACGGGACAGCAGCAATCGGCGACGCTCGCTCCAGCACAGCACCAAGAATGCTTGTGCCGCGCCGTAGCTGCTGCTGCTCGCTGCCCTCAACGCTCCTCAGATACGAGTGCCTGGAGCATCAGCCCGGGCGGCAACCGTGTGGAGGCTGGGGCTTAGTCCAGTTAGCGGGCGGTTATCACGGGTGGAGCTGGTGGGCTGGCTTTCAGTTGATGCACCGTGAGGTACGAGCCCGTCAAGTACATGAGCAGCACGAGTGGGATCCATTCCACTGGAACCCATCGCCGGAGGTGGTGGTTTATTTTGGTCCGGCATACTGTAAGCCTGCGTGCCTTGCCAAGAGCAGCAGGGCCACGGGCTCGTGCTACGGCGAGCAGCGTGGAGAGCATCTCGTGCTCACGCAGACATCAGACAAGTTGCCTCTAGAGACTGGCCTGCATCGACACAGCCCTTGCCGGACAAGGCCGCCAGCGACACGTTCATGATCTCGCGGGTTACGACCTGATCAGCGAGGTGCGTGCATACTGTAGGCAGCTTGGAGCGTATGCACATGCATCGCAAGCATGTACCGTCGCACGGGGTAGCATTTAACTGGAGCCTTCGTACATGCATGCATAGGCGCAAGAGATTTGACTTTGGGTGCTGGCGTTAGGGGTGCACCGTCCTGTTGCTTGGCATGCTTCTGAAAAGCTTCAAGGGCTGATTGCAGTCAGCGAGCATGGTGCGCTTGAGTACAGGCACGCCTGCTTATACGGAGTATTCCGGAGAGCTTCTGCTCGTACAGCAGCAATTCAGCTTGGGCGGGCGAAAGCTGCGCTGTTGGCACCTTGTCCGAGCTGGAATGTTGGCACCATGGGTATGGTCCCTAGTAAGTATGGGAAAAAATAGAAAGACCCAATCTGGAGAGCCCTGTCCATATCATTTGGCTTCGTTTCTTCGCCTCTCTTTTTTGAAATTTTCCCCCCGAGAGGGGACATCGTGTTCTCGGCCTCTGCCAGGATAGCCATGGCAGCGAATAACTGGGGCGCCAAAGCCGCGCAGCCAACGGCGAGTAAACGTGCGGCTGCTGCCCAAGCCGACCTGTCGATGAGCTTTGCTCGATGCGTGGTATGGCGTGTCAAAGTCTCAGCTGTCTGGCTCCAGGGGTAAATGGTCGCCACTGGCTAGCGCGGCTCTTGGCTGAGGTGAAAGCAAAATCCTCGGGTTTTTAGATGGAGCAGCAGCCAGTTCTTCAGCTGTGCAGGCGTCGAGCACAACATGTCCCAGACGCCTAATCATCGAGCCCGCCACTTCCGAATTGGCGCGACGGAACACCACAGACTCGGAATAGTCGAATACTTTTCTCTCCTTGTCTCATTGCCTCTCTGCCGAGTGCTACGCCAGGTACTCGCACAGGTCTGGTATCTCGCGCTGTAACTCTCCACTGCAGTAGTCGCCTTTTATTTTTCCTCTGTGTGACGGGCGCTGCCAGAAACCTTTTTCCAGGACAATCAGACGTGTGATGCAATACGGAAGCACAAGGCTCTATTCCAGCTTGGAAAAGGCCCATTGTCGATCCTAGAGCTTTGGCCGGCTGCGTCAACTCCAGGTTGATGGCAGGCGTAGCAAAGGAATCCATGGCCCTCGGCGTCACGGCTGTAGGGCCTGGCAATCGGCACTGTTGATCTTCAGGGTGAGCAGAGATCACCGCGCTTCTGGAGAACGATCGGCGCCAACAAGCTTTTCTCGAGCAATCGAGACTGCGTAGATACGTGCAAGAGTGTTGTGGAATGTGGACGGGGTTCCACCTCCACAGTCGCCGTCGAACAAGAGCCATGGGCTGATTGCGGGCGATGACATGTGCTGTCTGGGCCACTCTCTCGCCGTCTGGACGTCTGGACAGGCCCACTGGAGACGCCGGCGATGCAATTTTTTCTTCCAAGACTCGCACAATGGCTCCATCCAAAGTCCACCCTGCTGCTCTGCCTTGCCTGCCATCGCAACGTAACCCCGTGAGCCAGCAGTCGCTTCCTCGTACACGCCGGACGGCTATTCGTTCATGCTGGATGGCATCAGACAAGCACATGCTAGTGCACGCTTCGTCCTGGAGCGCATAAAGCTGGATGAGGCATAGTCGGCCGTAGATTTCGGTGGGCCTCTCGATCCTTGATGGACGAATGCATGCGGGGGGGGAGAACCAAGGCAAGGCGCCCTAAACTTTTTCCCATGGGCTGTATCAGGCAGGTACGTGGCAGCAGCGCAGGAACGGTGCCTGCGATCGGTACTCGGGCTCTCGCCAGGAACAGGCTACCCGGGATCTAGGAACAAAAGTCTACAGCATCAAGATTTTTGAGAAAGCTTAACGGCAGGAAGAAATATCCAGTGGTTGTCTATATTATCTATCTCTTTATGATATGCAATTAGATACCTACCTGTCTAGGTTGGTAAAAGGTGATGAACGTGAATGAACTGGTAGGGATTATCAATGCTATGGCGCTACTCTTCCCTACCTTTGACGCGAGACAGCATGCATATAAAGATTCCAGCTGCTCCTGCCCAGCCCTGTAAAGGAGTGCTTGCAGATTTCATCTAGTAAACCGTGCCATCGGAGATTTGAAAAAGAAAAGAAATTGACTTTTTTTTCTCTCATTTTTTTTTTTTTAATAAAAGACATGAAGCCAATTCCCAGGCGCCTCTGCCACCAAGCTTCACAGGCATAAAGCAACTCCAGCACGGAGACTGAGTTGCTCTGCTATTCGCCAATTCCCATACGACGAGATTACAAGTTTACTTTTCTTCTCCAGCTGCCAAAGTCTCTATTCTCCCTCGACCACGCACCGCGCCAATCAAGCAGCACGGCTCGACATTTCACCCAGGCATCTTCAGTGGATCGCCTTCAAGTTCAGACTTTTGTCGCAGCTTACGGCACCTGCTACGCCGTTCTGCGACATTTATGCATTCTTGGCGGAGCTGAGTAGAATTTGCCTCTGTTCATCAAGCCATCCAAAGCCAGTGGCAACGTACTTGTATACGAGCGCATTGCCAGTGCCGCCCACAGGGCCTCGTATCAGCCGGATCGGGGCCGAATCCTACTCGCCGGATCGGTGGAAGCGGGCACTTGGAATCGAAGACCAAGCATGGGTGTTTATGCCTGCGCTAAGCTGGCGTCCGGCTGGTACATGCTTGTAATAGTACGCCTCATCGCTGGAGCTGCTGCGGCACCGCACGCTTATGCGCAGGTATTCCCCGACGAGCCGCCTCTTTCCAGCAGAGCCTCGGCGCCGTTCTAGACCGGCCATATCGATCAGAGTTTGTCCACAGCTCGTGGAGATGCAGCCCTTGCCCTGAGCCACTACCGGTAGTATAGGCATAGCAGTCGATTCGTGCCGTCAACTGGACGCATGGGCCAATGACGTTGAGCCATCAGGTCCAGAAACGGGAGGCTTACTTTGGCGGCCTCAAGCTTATAGCCTAACGGCTGGCTAGTACCTCGTATGAATGGGCAATCTAAAACGCTGGGTCGGCGGCCTATCGCCTAGGACAAACAAAGGCAAGGCGCTATTATCCTTTGTCTACGCTTTGCTTGCAGGATTTTCGCGCCTGCCTACGTCATCAAAAGCATTGTGCTACTCCGGCCTCAGCTTCTCGTTATCAACCGCTTCTTCACTTGTGCTCAATTGGCCCTGAAGATCCCGTTGTAGCGCTGGTCCTCGCACAAGTCCCGGAACATGAGCTCACCAACCCGGCCTTGGCTTAGCCACGACGATGGTTTCCACTCTTCTCCTCTGCATACGCGAACAAGCACCCTGACAACATTGATCCGGTCCCGTTCCCAGCAGAGCCTATCGAGCCCTCGGCAGTCGTCTCCGGTGCCGCGCCATCTCGTGGAGGATGAAGAGACGGGGCCTATACGGGCCTCGAGGATGCGCCTTGAAGATGAGGCCATGATTGAGAGGCTCTTGCGGGACGAGCGGCGGCTGTCGCAGATTCTGCACGGTCCGCAGGCGCGGAGCTTGAGGCTCATCGGGAGAAGCAACCCGCGGTATCGCTGGGAGCAGTACTGGAAGACGGAAGAAGAACTCGGCACGATGAGGAAACCGATGTAAGGCCAGCCTCAACAAACCCTTTAAGCATCTGTAGATAGCTGTCCCATCTGCGGCGAGCAAAGTGCATACTCGGAGAGCTGACTTGTTGTTCGCCTTGAAAGACGCGACTTCTACCAGAGGACAAACTCGCTTATTCAACAGTACATGTATATCGACTGTCTTCTTGATTCTTCCATTCCCCATGAGCTCCTGAACGAATATGCGGATGAGCTCGAGGCCTCGGCCTTTAGATCCGTTGACGTTCCAGATACCATTGCCGAAGAAACCCCCCAGGCCTCGTACAAGTCCCAGTCACATCTAGATCAGGCCAATGGAACATATGGCTCCATCAGTAACACCGCCACCGTGCACAATAGCAGCTCATCGTCAACTCTCAAGGGGTCACAGCCCCAGAGACGAACTCCAAAGGACATTTTCCGCTCTTCTGAGAACCTGCCTCTGTTACAGCACCAAGACGACGAGGGCGTCGACAGCGAGCCGCCCTCGCGACCGCAGTCCCCTCAGCCGGCTACACCCAAAGAAGCTGGCCCTCGCCCAAATCTTCCGTGGCTGGAGGATGCTGACTTGGATCACGACGACCCCATTGTGACTTTTGCGATTTGGATCAACCTCATTGCAAATATCATTCTCCTGGCAGGTAAAATTGCCGTCATCATCTCGGTGCCTTCCATGTCTGTCCTTGCAGCCCTGGTCGACGCTGTCCTTGATTTGCTGAGTACTGCCATCGTCTGGACGACAACACGGCTGATCTCCTCAAGCCAGCGGGACCAGCACAATTATCCTGTTGGACGGTCGCGGTAAGTCTTCTACGGCGTTGTAAATTTTGGGGCCTGTTGTTTTGTCCTCTTGTCATTCTAACTTGACTGCCGTAGATTGGAGCCTCTCGGCGTGCTGGTTTTCTCGGTCATCATGGTGACCTCCTTTTTCCAAGTCAGCCTTGAATGTGTTCAGCGACTTGCTGGCCCTGATCACCAGGTCCTCCAGCTGGGAATGCCGGCCATCATCATCATGATAACGACTATTGTAATCAAAGGTGGCTGCTGGCTATGGTGCCGTCTTGTTAAAAATTCAAGTGTCCGAGCCTTGTAAGTTATTTTTTGCGTGTTCGTTGTGGATTCTATCAAACTGACCCGTGCCCTTTGACAGAGCGGACGATGCCATCACTGATGTCGTGTTTAATATCGGCTCCATTCTGTTTCCACTGGGTATGTTCTATTAATCTTCACCCCCTCCACAGATGGCTTCTAGATTTTCTGACTCCTCTCTAGTTGGCTTCTATGGCCGAATCTGGTGGCTTGACGCTTCCGGCGGTCTCCTCCTCTCCCTCGTTGTGATTCTCATCTGGAGCCGCACCTCCGCCCAGCATATCCGCAATCTGACTGGATTCTCTGCCCAGCCTGATGAGCGAAACCTGCTGCTCTACCTCACCATGCGCTTTGCCACCGCCATCCGCCAGATCCAGAACCTGCGTGCCTATCACGCGGGCGACAAGCTTTTTGTGGAGGTGGACATTGTGCTCTCTGCTATTACGCCACTCAAAGACAGCCA